TGTTTGTGTGTGTGTGAGTGTTTGAGAGAACTGCAAACACGTAGCAACAACGGAACGAAAAAACGTAAAGCTACAATACAAATCGGGTGCACTTTCACATTGCTGTCCGGCCGATCGGCTGCTACGACGTCGTCAGCGCCAACGTCAACGTCAACGTTAACGTCAGCGTCAGCATCGGCTTTTCTTTGTGAGCGACGCGACGGGCGCCTTATTGCTGCCTGCTTCCTGCCTTTGATTTTTATTGTGTCACGCGTTCGCCGAAATCAAGAAAAAAAAAAAATATATATAAATAAAACAAAACTACGACACGGGTCTGAAGTGAAAGTCCATTTTACAACATATAATAAAGATGTCTCCGATGCATATTGTCTTACGACTGCTGCTCAAAAGTGAGCTGATATTTAAGTACACATGTATGTGTGTAGTTGTATTTCTGTGTTTGCGTTCCTCTCTCAATTAAACGCGACACTAATTTGCGTACTTAGTGAAAATCGATATGGCCAAAACTTGCCTTTTACGCGATGCTTTAGCTGACACTTTTCATCTAACGTTTTTTTTTTGTTGGTTTAGCACAGATTAACGGATTCTTGACTTTTTGCTGAATTTTGAGCAATTTATGCAAAATATTGTTATAAAATCACACACGCACACATACGTAAATGCAGGCACATGTACACTAACGGGACAACCCTAACCTAAACACAATGTGCCGACATACTGAAAGCGAACTGCCGCACAGTGGTATGAAATGTTGTAAATACGTGAAAAATATTAATATAAATATTGAGATAAATACGAAAAAAATTGTTTAAATTGAAAATTATGTACCCCAAAAATCTCTATTTCAATTTAATTCAGGATTGGAAATCATTTTATTTTGTATGGTTTAATACTAATCCAATTTATTTCAAAATATTTACTTTAATTTTAAAAATTATGCATTATATATTACATATATTATATTTCGTAATCATATTCATTTCAATATATCATAAATCTTAATCGCCTGTAGTAAATACCCCGCGACCCACTGTGCAGACTATTGCAGTTAGTGTTCGTGCTTTTGCTCGTATTGCGCGCAGGTTTGCCGCTCTTTTTGTTGCTTCTCACGCTGCCGGCATATCTATGTGTATATGTATATAGTCTATATATGCATGTATGTGTATGTGTATGTGCATGCATTTGTGGGTGCGCGTTTGAGCAGTCAAAATAATAACAGCGGCTGCGATTTCACTTTCCATTCAAAAACCCAGAGCCGGCCTAACCTTAAATTCTATGTCATGTTTTAATACTGCTGTATGATAAATGTTGGCACAAACCAGTCAGCAAAATATTTGGAATGTATGTCTCTACATTTATATGTATTGAAAACAAGTGCGGCCTATTATAATTTTAATGAGTTAATTCATACATGAATTTTTTAAATTTAATAATAATTAATAAAATAATATATTGTATTTTACAATTTGATAAAAAATTGTTTTGTAATATATATTAATTTGTATGGCTTAATGTACATCAGTTTATTTTTTTTCTATATCTTTCCATCCTACTTTATCTTAACATTAAGTTGGAAAACTTTTCAAACTACCCTCGTATTTCTTTTACTTGCAGTTGCTAACAATCCGACGTAAAACTAAGCTTCCAATCCGCCGTAAACCTTAAACGATCCACGCAACGAACGCACAATGAATTTCACACCCTTTGGCAACACTTTTCCGGGTCTGCCGCAGTTTACGACGACGACTTCGTCGCCGTTGGTGTCGACGGTAACTGCCGCTGTGGCCGTTGCCGATGCCGATGTGACTGCGGCCAACAACAATCCACAGCAACAGCAGCAGCAGCAAGAGCCTAGCGGCAGCGGCAATCGTTATCAGCAGCAACACCAGCAGCAGCAACAACAACAACAGCAGCAGGTGACAGCAGGCGTATCCATGACGCACTTTAGTCAACCGAGTAGCAGTGTCGCCGCAGCCGCCGGCAGCAAATTTCGCAGCGGACAGGAGGATGCGCTGCAAGGCGACAAATACAATGGGCATTTGGTGGCCACTGCCACACAACAGCAGCAGCAACAGCAACAACAACAACAACAACAGCAGCAGCAGCCGCAGTATGCGACTGTCTATACAGCGAGTGCCACGACGAGTGCAGTGGATGCCATGCAAGCGAGCGGCTCTGGACAACAGCAGCTGCAACAGCAACAAGTGGTGGCACCGCAAGAGCTGACACAGGATCTATGCAATGCCATATTGCAGCAACAAGGTAAGAAAAGTACCTAGAGCAACCTAACGCCTTTAATGCCTTTTCTTTGCATTTACAGTGCTACAGAATACCTCTTGGCAAACGATCACGCCCGGCACCACCGTCGCGGACTACCTCTCGCATCTTCCAGCCAATACGTTGCCACTCTCGCTGCACCACTTTCTCAAGTACTCCGCAGAGACCATCAAAAAGGAGAATCAGCAGAATGTGGTATCTATCTATAGTCATCTCTTGTCTAGACTGTATAACAAATCTATGCTACGAACAGGTGCTGCAGGTGCAGACGGGACCAGGCGCCGCCATTGGCATCAACACCATTGGCACCACAACAACCATAAGCATACCTCAGCAGGAGCAGCAGCCGCTGCATCAGCAACAGCAGCAGCAGCAACAGCAGCAACAGCAGCAGCAACAACAGCTGCAACAGCCACAACAACAACAACAACAACAGCAGCAGCAGGCAACACTGCAATTGCAGACACAGAACGTGGTAGCAAGTAGTTCGACCGCTGTTAGTGTCGCCAAGAAGAAGAAGCGCAAAAAGCGCTCCAAAGAGCGCAAGCCAAAGCTGCGTCCCGGCGAAATAAGAATGGGCACAGCCTTGGACGGTAGCCCACTTTATATGTGCCCCGAATGCCATGTGGCGTATCCGGAGCCGGAGCTGCTCGAGGTGCATCTGGTGGGGCATAATCTAGAGCGACGCTATGTGTGCGACATCTGTCAGGCCTCGCTCAAGCGGAAGGATCATCTGACACGGCACAAGCAATCGCATAATCCCGAACGGCCGTACATCTGCACCGTCTGCCTCAAAGCCTTTAAGCGCAAGGAGCAACTGAGCCTGCACTTTGTCATCCACTCGGGTGAGAAGCGGCATCAGTGCCAGGAGTGCGGCAAAGGCTTCTATCGCAAGGATCATCTGCGCAAGCACACCCGCTCTCACATAGCCCGGCGTGTCAAGGCTGAGCTGAACAGTCATGTGCGTCGAGAGAATGGCACCAGCATGTTGCAGCCGGTGGTAACAGCTGCTACAACTGCAGCCGTGCAGCATGCCAATCAGCAACAATTGCAGCTACAACAACAACAGCAACAGCAGCAACAACAACAGCAGCAGCAGCAGCAGCAACAACAACAACATCACATAGTCGTCAGCCAGCAGCAGCAACAACAACAACAGCAACAGACAACCGGCCAGCAGCAGCAACAGCAGCAAATGTTAAATTAGCCAAATGATTTTTGTAAAGTCAGTTAAATCAAAATTCAAAATCCATGCCACATATTTGATGTAACGTGCGGCATCTACACAAATTGACGCCGCACATACGAAATTCAAGTTCAAGCAATCAAAACCCTCTCGGTCCACGCAATTTAATTGACTCACACAAATCGGATATACGAATATCGTTTACGATATTCAGCAGATGCAATAGCTAAAATTGAATAGTTGTCTCTCTGAGGCACTATTCAACACTGTACAATTATTCCTAGGCAAACAAAGTGACACACAAAACTAGTCCTAATATTATATTTAGTGCTGTAAAACTGGGACCATAAACTTGATTGATTTATCTTACGAAATAAGAACTATTACAGTCAATTGGTCATAAATGAAAAATATTAAATTTCTATAATTGTTATTATATTATTAAAAATTATTATATTTTATGTAACTGAATAAGTAAAAATTGTAAATCCGAATTCTAAATATTTTATATTCAAGCGAAGACTGTAATTTATCCAATACTAAAGGTTTAAAAATGTACTGCTATGTTAAATTAAAATCATAATTTATATATTTAATCTTACACAACAATACCCAACTTGTTCCTATGGAACTTAAATGATATAGGTATATAAAATATACTATAAAAGCTTCTGTTAAATGTGACGATTAGTGAAGTTTGATGAAGATTATGTTCCTTAACGTTATACTTTGCCATCTACTTATACACGTGTCCAATAAGTTCCAAGATTTTTTTCAAATTACTGGGTATCTTTATGAGAGTTTATGTATTCAGGTAATTTCAAACAAGCTCAAGTTTGGGTCCCAGTTGTGCCGATCGCTAAATTCCATCGGCTCTTAGTTTAAGACAAATGTGCAAAGATATTATAATTTTATATGCGAATCGCGTATTTTAGTGAAATGTATTTTTGTATAAAGTGAAAATATGTACATAAATATATATTTAAAAAAATATGTTGCATGCAAATGCAGCAAACTATTTATGTACTCCTAATAATGAAACAAAGCGCAATTTAGATCTAAGAACGAATTAGATCTATGTGAATGTACTACGACTTTTGATAACACCGATTAAAAAATTTGTAAATACACATGAATTTTGTTTTCATATTTATTTATAAAAGCATATATTTGCCAATTCTTTTATATAAATTAATTTCTGCTTATAAATCTCAAGATGCCTCTGTAAAAATTGTCAGACGAAAGAAAATTCGGAAAAACGAAAACGTTTTATGGCGTACGTATAAGCCATAGGTGACATCGAAAGTGGATATTAGAAGGAAGCTATATTTAAACATATAAATACAAATCTTATTACGTTCTCGGAATTTTTAAAACTTATACAAAATTCAACGTAAAATTCATGGAAACCAAAAAAGAGGTTAAAGCAACGGATAATACCTCCCCATTTGACTGCAACATTTGTTTGGGTACTGCCAAGAATGCTGTGATCTGTGTGTGTGGCCATCTGTTCTGTTGGCCCTGCCTGCACCTCTGGATGCTGACTCCTTGCACCCTGCGTAGATGCTGTCCCGTGTGCCGATCACGGCTGAACATCACGAAAGTAATACCGCTGTATGGACGAAACAGTGAGGTACAGGCTGCCAACGGTGAAATGGCGCCGCGCCCTCTGCCACAGCGGTTGGAGCCGAGTCCGTCAAATGGATCGCTCTATTTCGGCTTCCTACTTGGCTTTCAAACATCACTCGGCTATGGCAGCTTTCCGATTGAGACTCTCGCATCCGCTCTGAATTTAAACGATGAGCAGGCGCTGTTTCTATTTTTCGGTCTCTTTTGCCTCGGCTGGCTGATGTTCTAACGGCGGAGAAATAAAATTCGAATAGACTTTTTGGAATATTCTTATTAATTTATGTATATATATGTATAGGTCCAACTTTATCATACAGCAGTTGTATTCACTAATAAAGTAAATTGTAATCAGACCGTAAAAGTGTTTTGTTTTGATTATTTTTTCATTAATATGGATCAAAAACTATATTGAGTCATTCGCTTTAATCTAGATCATCTTTTAATAAATTGTCAACATTTGCTTTCTTACTGTTAATTAATTTCGGTAAACTATATTTATTATGCACCATTTATTATATTCAATCAAGTAATCAGTATAATTATGATGTAATTATAATTAATTATTCATGTAGTTGGATGCGATTTGTGTATGTATATGTTTTATCATATTTACGTGCTGTTCTTTATGTATATATATACTGTATATGATCGATCTTTGCCTGCGTACAGCTTAAATTAAAATATTACAAAATATACGTTAAGTTCATTAAATATGTAGGCAATTAAGGAAGTTGGCGTTGAAATGGGCTAGAGCCGGGGCGGGGCGGGGTGGTCGTGTCAGCGCCAGGGGCGTTTACGGGGGATAACTACATCGCAGAGATTAGCAGATTCATTCAGTCAAGCCTTTATAAAAAAAAATATGCTTGCTTGATCTAATTAAAATCTGCGAGAACAATTTCATGTTTCATGTTTCATGTTTTCATTTCAATATATATATAAAGAGACATATGCATGTGTGTGCGTTTTTGTGTGGGTGTGTGTTTGTGTGTGTGTGTGTGAATGTTTGTGTGTGTATATGTATGTATGTGCCAATAGCTGCAAGGCGTCCAGGATGTTCAGTCCTTGGGGCACTTCCTCACTCATCAATTTTTAATACAAGTCGAGTCTTACAAAATGTTACTTTGTTCCTTTTGTTGTAAGTGTAGGCGAGTGTGTGTGGAGGGTGTTTATTTTTGGTTGATTTGTTGTGTTTCGTTTTCGTTGCGTAAAGAGAAATTTAATCACTGTACAAAAGAGCGACAGGGAACACTTTCGCTTCGCCAGGCCCTCACCTATGGGCCACACAAATATTTTCGCTTCTGATCATCCATATAATCGCGCGTCGACATTTGGATGGCTCGCTGCAGCATCTCGTTCTCATTGACTCCTGTAAGGAATTGAAAGTAAGTACCTGCTATAAATAATAATGCAATTTCTGCACAGACCGTCGTTAGCATAAGAAGCCTCCAGGAGCTCTTGGTAAAAGCTCGAGTAGCTTTGCTTGGGCGGCGATTTGGGTTCCACGCGTTTGGGTGGTGACTGTGATGACTGCTTGGAGGTGCATGGTTGCTGTTCCGCTTCTGGTGTACGTTCCCTAGCAACGGCAGGCACAGCTTCACGTTTCGGACTCTTACGTTGTGGCGTTTCATGTACATGGGTTTCCAGGCTGCAATGATTATTCAATGTGAGAGCAGTCGAGGGCAAGGTAAGGATTTAACTGCCACATACCTATTGCCTGGCTCGCGCACTTCGTGACGACGTTTCTTGCTGCTGCGCAGGTTGTTGCTGCGACGCTGTGATTTTGACAGTTTATTGGAGCGCTGCGCTGGGGCTGTGTTGGGCGAGGCATTACCTCCACAGTGACCCACAGAGCTGGTGCTGCTCATATCCGTCGCATCGCTCTCGTAACCGCCCAGTTCATTTACCTCGGGCGGCAACTTGTGTGCATATTGACCAAGTGTTTTAGGCGATAGCGTGTAAACCGTGGCTGGGCCATCGCCAATGCTGGAGCTGCTCATTGGGGCTGCTGTGTTGCTGTTGTTGTTACTACTGCCACCGCCGCCGCCACTACCTCCTCCGTCACTCGAGTACTTTGAAGGCGAGGCATCTGAGTCGGTTAGGGCCTCGGCTGAAGTCACTGTTGAAGATGTTGCCGAACCGGCGGCTGTATTGTTGTTGCGCGAACGCTGCATATTATCACGGCACCATTGCAAGTAGGACTCACGAGCAATTTGCTCCTCTATGGCCTCGTTGGTGGCTTCCCAGTCTGTTGTCTTCAGCTTGTCCTCAAACATAGTCTATGCAGAATATATATATTTATTTATTTGCATTTTGTTATTTATAGTCGGAGTTGGCACTCACCTGTTCAATTTCTAGCTGCTCGCTTAAACGCACTGCCTCCTTGGTCTGAAACTCGGGCTTGTAGCCAGCCAAGCCCAAGCCGACGCCTACGGTGGCATTGTACGGATCCAGTATGGCATTGTAGTGGGAGCCTCGTTGATAGGACAAACGCAACGGTGGATAGCCAGCCTGCGATTGCTCTGAGTTAAAGATGTTAATGGGTGCTGAAATTTATAGAAACGTAAAGGGCATTAGAAAAGAGGACCAAAAGATCCTAAGATCAAGTGCTATGGTAAATAGGAAAGTTACGATGCAAACTTATTAATGGTGGGTATGATTTGAAGTTTATTGAGAGTCAATATCTGAAGGGGGTAAATAATACATTCTCATATTAAAAAGAGCCACACGGTTCAATACATACGACGATATTGCTAGAAACTCTTCTGATATATTACATATTTAATACAGATAAAGAGCCTTAAACACTCTTAAAAGTAATAACTTATATTCTTCATTCAAAGCCGGAAATCAGACTTGTCTTGTGCTTATACATGTCGATATTTAAAGTACATCGATCATAAAAGTAAAGAAAACAGCTCACTGTGAAATACACCTCCTAAAACAATCAGTACACTTCACTTGGGCGCAAGCGACTACGCAATTTATGGAAAATTCATTTGAAAATTGACTGCTGATAATTTAGATAAAAAGAACACGAGACTTGATTACTCACTCGACTGATAACAGAAGACTTCGACGGTGCGACTGTAGATCTCGGATATGGCCTGTATCTCTATGTGATTGCCGTGTGCATCGCGGGCACGTTTGCGTTGAATATATCCATTGATGTCCTCGGTGACAAACTGACCAAAATACTCGCGATTCTCATGCTACAAGAAAAGCAGATAAAACATTAAAATAAATAAGCAAATTAGTGTATTAATATAGCTATTCATGTATTACTATGTAGTCCATTGTGTGCTGCCGTATGACATCGTGCATGCCCTCGTCGCCGTAAATCTGCAGAGATATGGATCGAAAGAGACAGGCACCATCTTCCTCTACGGGCTTTAGTTCGTAGCCACGCTTCTCCATACATTTGGCAAACTCTTCATCGCGCCGCTTCCACTCCTCCACTGAAATAGTGCGCTCCTTGGGTTGCAGATGCTCGTCGCCGCTATTGTAGCCAGAGAAAGTCTCTTCGACAGCTTTCAGCATATTCGCTGCCGCAGCGGCCGGTGTTATTTGAGTTTGCACTTTCGGCACATTGGCACAGCCCAAGCCCAGATGCTCCGGCGATTTGCGACCGACAGCTGTGGGAGTGCTGCTGTTGCCCGCTCCGGCAGCAACGCCCGCAGCTACTACTGCATGCGGACTGCTACATTTGCTGCTGACGCCCGCAACACCACTACCAACCACAGTCGGATGATTAAGATTCAGTTTCTCGCGCTCCAAACGATCCCGTTTATGATGATGTGCATGACCTTCATGATGCTCGCGACGCTTCGAACGGGAACTGTGATAGAGAAGAAATTGACAAGTATTAGATAATGAATGTCAAAGAACAGATCTGATTGAACATGATTTACCTGGTAAAAATAACAAGAATATAATCAATATAAAATATAAACAATATCCGTCTTTATAATGTTATATAAATATAGCTCTTTCTTCCTTAGCAATCTATGCAATAAATATAAACTTAATAAAATAATAAACATTCTCAAGAATATGTAAATAATGTAGCGATTTTAGGATACAAAACTCTGAAAGACACGGTTTTTCTTATATTTCTAATCTTATGTACAAAATCACTATTCAGAATTCATATTACTATACCATCTTCTCATATATAAATAGCTCTAACCTATCTTCTACGCAAGATGTTTTCATGCTAAAGAATCCATATAAAATATAACTTAATGATTTTCTTAAATATATATAACTTTGCTTCAAAACAAGAGCTTTGTGTGGAATCTAATATAACATCTCATATACAGTAGTTCTCCTCGCCAATAAATTTGTATAAGCCACGTCAAAAGCTGTCATAGACGAACATGAGAAGCCGAGAAATATACCCATAGGATTGACTGAACTTTAACACTTACCTTTTATGTGGACTGCAACGGTGTGTGCGTGTCAGCTCGTCGTAGACTTCGCCGCGTCGTTGTGGACTCTACGAACATTAACAAATTAAAATGTTAAATAATGTGGGTTAATATTAGAATGAATACAAAACACACCTGGCCATGGCCATCGATGACAACATTGCGATGTGATTGATTGACAACCGATTGTTCGACGACCACTACCTGTCCTGAGACGTGAGCCTCGGTGGCATCCGCATCGACAACGCGCTTGCCACTCGGCGCACTGACTGGCTTGATAGTCATGGTTTAGCTGCGACTGTGGCTGCGGCTGTCGTCTGTGAACTACCACGCAATAGTATAACGAGCAGCTCCAAACTAAATCTTCGAATGTGAAAGCTTAACACATGTGTGAATGGCAAATTTTGTTTAGCTGTTTGGCCAGCTCAGAATTAGATTTTCTTCTCCGTCTATATATATATATACATACATATATCTCTATATATATTTATAAATATATATATATACAAATATCTGTGTATGGGGCACTTTTACTGCAAGTTCTTTGTCCGTGTGGCAAAGGATTCCCTTGCTTTGACGCACGCACTTGTTCAATTCTCTTTTTTTTGTTTATATTATTGTTATTGTTGTTTTTGTTGTGGCTGCTGCTCCCAAAAAAAATTGATGTAGTAATTTATTTAGACGCACAACTATGAAATCATATACATAGCCAGAGTAAATGGTGAAAATTTTGTGATTTTCATTTGAATGTGTGTGTATGTGTGCATATGTGTAGTGTTTGCTCGCAATCGTCTTTGTCTCTTGCACTGTTGCAGAAACGATTAATAAAATACGTCGCTTAGTTGTATAATTGCGTACACTGCACTCTATATAAAAACACCAATATCATAGTTTATCACAATCTCTTGCACAGTTTGTTTTTTTTTTTGTTTTGTTTTTTTTTGTTGTTAGAAACGTAAAAGCCAGGATAGTCTGTTCGATTTTATTTACACCAATCACAAACTCGTCAGATGCGCACGTTCTGCTTCTTCTTGCTACTTTGGTGTTTTTTAGGCCATTTTAATAAGTCAGCTTGTCGCGACATACGGAGAACATCTGATAAAAATGTTGACCGCCAGTGTTGCCTTATTAGTTTTATTTAATTTAAATTTGTATCTATTATTACAACATGGTTTTGTTGATAAAAAAGCTACGATTACTTTGAATATAAAATTTTTTGTTTTGTAATAATATATTTTTTTTAATAATACCAAATTTTTTTAATTATACTAAAAATTTTTAAGTAGAATGCAGAGCATTAACAAGCTTTTAAACTTTCTGAAAATTATTTTATTCTATATTCATTATATTTATCCACAAATATTTAAACAAATGTATTTTTCTATATTTGCTGTCTAATACAAATTAGTATAATAAATCATCCAGATAACAGCTGAGCTAATATTGCCTAGCTTAAATTCTAGCATTATTTTAATTTGTTTTTCTGTAGTTAATTTAGTTAGTTTTTTTTTAAAGAAATTTTAAATGAGCCACCTAAGTCTACATAAATAAGAAGTAGTTCCAAAAAATATCCAGGATTTTGAAACCTTATACTAAATTATTTTGGAAATAAAATTCGCAAATATATTGGTTTGCATATATATTTTATAAACTTTTAAGTACAGAGCTCCCAACATAGTCATTTTTAATACGCTAACAAGCTGTTAGTTAATATATTGACCATTCCAAACGTTGGTACCCCATCCACTTCCATAATAATCCCATGACGGTCTGGCTCCTAGCCATTGTGCCTGAGTTCCCCACCAGTAGGGATAGTGTCCAACGCCGTAACGTGCGTCACCTCCATTAACATATCCATTAGCCTGTCTCCTATTTATCGCAAACTTTCTAGCTTGAATCTGTGCATTTCCTGGTTGAACGCCATCTGCAACATTTGATAAAATGGTTTCTTGACCCCTTTTAATAACCTTTCCAATAACACCCGGAACGATTTGTTGATTTAAATAATCGTTTGAGCCAAAACGGTGGCTATTTGATGAACCAGACTTTGAAATGTCCGTTTCACTCCTAGCGCCACTGTCAACTATTGTCGTAGATCCAGATTGGCTGTTAACCGTTTTAGTCTCTCCAGAAACTACTGTAACGACTGGACTAACTGATGAGTTAGCTTGTTCAGAGCTCGTCGTAGTCGTTGTCGAAGAGGATCCAGATTGACTGTTTCCGGAAACCACTTTCACCACGGGCTCATCTGCTGACTTCGTAACCTTAGAGGTGGTTGTAGTCGTAGTCGAAGAGGATCCAGATTGACTGTTTCCGGAAACCACTTTCACCACGGGCTCATCTGCTGACTTCGTAACCTTAGAGGTGGTTGTAGTCGTAGTCGAAGAGGATCCAGATTGACTGTTTCCGGAAACCACTTTCACCACGGGATCGATTGCTGACTTCGTTATCTTGGTGGTGGTTGTAGTCGTAGTCGAAGAGGATCCAGATTGACTGTTTCCGGAAACCACTTTCACCACGGGCTCATCTGCTGACTTCGTAACCTTAGAGGTGGTTGTAGTCGTAGTCGAAGAGGATCCAGATTGACTGTTTCCGGAAACCACTTTCACCACGGGCTCATCTGCTGACTTCGTAACCTTAGAGGTGGTTGTAGTCGTAGTCGAAGAGGATCCAGATTGACTGTTTCCGGAAACCACTTTCACCACGGGATCGATTGCTGACTTCGTTATCTTGGTGGTGGTTGTAGTCGTTGTTGAAGAGGATCCAGATTGACTGTTTCCGGAAACCACTTTAACCACGGGCTCATCTGCTGACTTCGTAACCTTAGAGGTGGTTGTAGTCGTAGTCGAAGAGGATCCAGATTGACTGTTTCCGGAAACCACTTTCACCACGGGATCGACTGCTGGCTTCGTAACCTTAGAGGTGGTTGTTGTCGTTGTAGAAGAGGATCCAGATTGACTGTTTCCGGAAACAACTTTCACCACGGGCTCATCTGCTGACTTCGTAACCTTAGAGGTGGTTGTAGTCGTAGTCGAAGAGGATCCAGACTGACTGTTTCCGGAAACCACTTTCACCACGGGATCGATTGCTGACTTCGTTATCTTGGTGGTGGTTGTAGTCGTAGTCGAAGAGGATCCAGACTGACTGTTTCCGGAAACCACTTTTACCACGGGATCGACTGCTGGCTTCGTAACCTTAGAGGTGGTTGTTGTCGTTGTAGAAGAGGAGGATCCAGATTGACTGTTTCCGGAAACCACTTTCACCACGGGATCGACTGCTGACTTCGTAACTTTAGTGGTGGTTGTAGTCGTTGTAGAAGAAGAGGATCCAGATTGACTGTTTCCGGAAACCACTTTCACCACGGGATCGACTGCTGGCTTCGTTATCTTGGTGGTGGTTGTAGTCGTAGTCGAAGAGGATCCAGATTGACTGTTTCCGGAAACCACTTTCACCACGGGATCGACTGCTGGCTTCGTAACCTTAGAGGTGGTTGTAGTCGTAGTCGAAGAGGAGGATCCAGATTGACTGTTTCCGGAAACCACTTTCACCACGGGATCTACTGCTGGCTTCGTAACCTTAGAGGTGGTTGTAGTCGTAGTCGAAGAGGAGGATCCAGATTGACTGTTTCCGGAAACCACTTTCACCACGGGATCGACTGCTGACTTCGTAACTTTAGTGGTGGTTGTAGTCGTTGTGGAAGAAGAGGATCCAGATTGACTGTTTCCGGAAACCACTTTCACCACGGGATCGACTGCTGACTTCGTAACCTTAGAGGTGGTTGTAGTCGTAGTCGAAGAGGAGGATCCAGATTGACTGTTTCCGGAAACCACTTTCACCACGGGATCGACTGCTGACTTCGTAACTTTAGTGGTGGTTGTAGTCGTTGTAGAAGAAGAGGATCCAGATTGACTGTTTCCGGAAACCACTTTCACCACGGGATCTACTGCTGGCTTCGTAACCTTAGAGGTGGTTGTAGTCGTAGTCGAAGAGGAGGATCCAGATTGACTGTTTCCGGAAACCACTTTCACCACGGGATCGACTGCTGACTTCGTAACTTTAGTGGTGGTTGTAGTCGTTGTAGAAGAAGAGGATCCAGATTGACTGTTTCCGGAAACCACTTTCACCACGGGATCGACTGCTGGCTTCGTTATCTTGGTGGTGGTTGTAGTCGTAGTCGAAGAGGATCCAGATTGACTGTTTCCGGAAACCACTTTCACCACGGGATCGACTGCTGGCTTCGTAACCTTAGAGGTTGTCGTTGTCGTTGTAGAAGAGGAGGATCCAGATTGACTGTTTCCGGAAACCACTTTCACCACGGGCTCATCTGCTGACTTCGTAACCTTAGAGGTGGTTGTAGTCGTAGTCGAAGAGGATCCAGATTGACTGTTTCCGGAAACCACTTTCACCACGGGATCGACTGCTGGCTTCGTAACCTTAGAGGTGGTTGTTGTCGTTGTAGAAGAGGAGGATCCAGATTGACTGTTTCCGGAAACCACTTTCACCACGGGATCTACTGCTGGCTTCGTAACCTTAGAGGTGGTTGTAGTCGTAGTCGAAGAGGAGGATCCAGATTGACTGTTTCCGGAAACAACTTTCACCACGGGATCGACTGCTGACTTCGTAACTTTAGTGGTGGTTGTAGTCGTTGTTGAAGAGGATCCAGATTGACTGTTTCCGGAAACCACTTTCACCACGGGCTCATCTGCTGACTTCGTAACCTTAGAGGTGGTTGTAGTCGTAGTCGAAGAGGATCCAGATTGACTGTTTCCGGAAACCACTTTCACCACGGGATCGACTGCTGGCTTCGTAACCTTAGAGGTGGTTGTAGTCGTAGTCGAAGAGGAGGATCCAGATTGACTGTTTCCGGAAACCACTTTCACCACGGGATCTACTGCTGGCTTCGTAACCTTAGAGGTGGTTGTAGTCGTTGTCGAAGAGGAGGATCCAGATTGACTGTTTCCGGAAACCACTTTCACCACGGGATCCACTGCTGACTTCGTAACCTTAGAGGTGGTTGTAGTCGTTGTCGAAGAGGATCCAGATTGACTGTTTCCGGAAACCACTTTCACCACGGGATCCACTGCTGACTTCGTAACCTTAGAGGTGGTTGTAGTCGTTGTCGAAGAGGATCCAGATTGACTGTTTCCGGAAACCACTTTCACCACGGGCTCATCTGCTGGCTTCGTAACCTTAGAGGTGGTTGTAGTCGTTGTTGAAGAGGATCCAGATTGACTGTTTCCGGAAACCACTTTCACCACGGGCTCATCTGCTGGCTTCGTAACCTTAGAGGTGGTTGTAGTCGTTGTTGAAGAGGATCCAGATTGACTGTTTCCGGAAACCACTTTCACCATGGGATCCACTGCTGGCTTCGTTATCTTGGTGGTGGTTGTAGTCGTTGTTGAAGAGGATCCAGATTGACTGTTTCCGGAAGCCACTTTCACCACGGGATCGACTGCTGACTTCGTAACCTTAGAGGTGGTTGTTGTCGTTGTAGAAGAGGAGGATCCAGATTGACTGTTTCCGGAAACCACTTTCACCACGGGATCGACTGCTGACTTCGTAACCTTAGAGGTGGTTGTTGTCGTTGTAGAAGAGGAGGATCCAGATTGACTGTTTCCGGAAACCACTTTCACCACGGGATCCACTGCTGACTTCGTAACCTTAGAGGTGGTTGTAGTCGTTGTAGAAGAAGAGGATCCAGATTGACTGTTTCCGGAAACCACTTTCACCACGGGATCGACTGCTGACTTCGTAACCTTAGAGGTGGTTGTAGTCGTCGTCGAAGAGGATCCAGATTGACTGTTTCCGGAAACCACTTTCACCACGGGATCGACTGCTGACTTCGTAACCTTAGAGGTGGTTGTAGTCGTTGTTGAAGAGGATCCAGATTGACTGTTTCCGGAAACCACTTTCACCACGGGCTCATCTGCTGACTTCGTAACCTTAGAGGTGGTTGTAGTCGTTGTAGAAGAAGAGGATCCAGATTGACCGTTTCCGGAAACCACTTTCACCACGGGATCGACTGCTGACTTCGTAACCTTAGAGGTGGTTGTAGTCGTAGTCGAAGAGGATCCAGATTCACTGTTTCCGGAAACCACTTTCACCACGGGATCGACTGCTGACTTCGTAACCTTAGAGGTGGTTGTAGTCGTTGTCGGAGAGGATCCAGATTGACTGTTTCCGGAAACCACTTTCACCACGGGATCGACTGCTGACTTCGTAACCTTAGAGGTGGTTGTAGTCGTAGTTGAAGAGGATCCAGATTCACTGTTTCCGGAAACCACTTTCACCACGGGATCGACTGCTGGCTTCGTTATCTTGGTGGTGGTTGTAGTCGTTGTTGAAGAGGATCCAGATTGACTGTTTCCGGAAACCACTTTCACCACGGGCTCATCTGCTGACTTCGTAACCTTAGAGGTGGTTGTAGTCGTTGTTGAAGAGGATCCAGATTGACTGTTTCCGGAAACCACTTTCACCATGGGATCTACTGCTGGCTTCGTAACCTTAGAGGTGGTCGTAGTCGTAGTCGAAGAGGATCCAGATTGACTGTTTCCGGAAACCACTTTCACCACGGGCTCATCTGCTGACTTCGTAACCTTAGAGGTGGTTGTAGTCGTTGTCGAAGAGGATCCAGATTCACTGTTTCCGGAAACCACTTTCACCACGGGATCGACTGCTGACTTCGTAACCTTAGAGGTGGTTGTAGTCGTAGTCGAAGAGGATCCAGATTGACTGTTTCCGGAAACCACTTTCACCACGGGATCGACTGCTGACTTCGTAACCTTAGAGGTGGTTGTAGTCGTCGTCGAAGAGGATCCAGATTGACTGTTTCCGGAAACCACTTTCACCACGGGATCGACTGCTGGCTTCGTTATCTTGGTGGTGGTTGTAGTCGTTGTTGAAGAGGATCCAGATTGACTGTTTCCGGAAACCACTTTCACCACGGGCTCATCTGCTGACTTCGTAACCTTAGAGGTGGTTGTAGTCGTTGTAGAAGAAGAGGATCCAGATTGACCGTTTCCGGAAATCACTTTCACCACGGGATCGACTGCTGACTTCGTAACCTTAGAGGTGGTTGTAGTCGTAGTCGAAGAGGATCCAGATTCACTGTTTCCGGAAACCACTTTCACCACGGGATCGACTGCTGACTTCGTAACCTTAGAGGTGGTTGTAGTCGTTGTCGAAGAGGATCCAGATTGACTGTTTCCGGAAACCACTTTCACCACGGGATCGACTGCTGACTTCGTAACCTTAGAGGTGGTTGTAGTCGTAGTCGAAGAGGATCCAGATTCACTGTTTCCGGAAACCACTTTCACCACGGGATCGACTGCTGGCTTCGTTACCTTAGAGGTGGTTGTAGTCGTAGTCGAAGAGGATCCAGATTCACTGTTTCCGGAAACCACTTTCACCACGGGATCGACTGCTGACTTCGTAACCTTAGAGGTGGTTGTAGTCGTTGTCGAAGAGGATCCAGATTGACTGTTTCCGGAAACCACTTTCACCACGGGCTCATCTGCTGGCTTCGTAACCTTAGAGGTGGTTGTAGTCGTAGTCGAAGAGGATCCAGATTCACTGTTTCCGGAAACCACTTTCACCACGGGATCGACTGCTGGCTTCGTTACCTTGGTGGTGGTTGTAGTCGTTGTTGAAGAGGATCCAGATTGACTGTTTCCGGAAACCACTTTCACCACGGGATCGACTGCTGGCTTCGTTACCTTGGTGGTGGTTGTAGTCGTTGTCGAAGAGGATCCAGATTGACTGTTTCCGGAAACCACTTTCAACACGGGATCGACTGCTGGCTGCGTTATCTTGGTGGTGGTTGTAGTCGTTGTAGAAGAAGAGGATCCAGATTGACTGTTTCCGGAAACCACTTTCACCACGGGCTCATCTGCTGGCTTCGTAACCTTAGAGGTGGTTGTAGTCGTAGTCGAAGAGGATCCAGATTCACTGTTTCCGGAAACCACTTTCACCACGGGATCGACTGCTGGCTTCGTTACCTTGGTGGTGGTTGTAGTCGTTGTTGAAGAGGATCCAGATTGACTGTTTCCGGAAACCACTTTCACCACGGGATCGACTGCTGGCTTCGTTATCTTGGTGGTGGTTGTAGTCGTTGTCGAAGAGGATCCAGATTGACTGTTTCCGGAAACCACTTTCACCACGAGATCGACTGCTGGCTTCGTTATCTTGGTGGTGGTTGTAGTCGTTGTCGTAGAGGATCCAGATTGACTGTTTCCGGAAACCACTTTCACCACGGGATCGACTGCTGACTTCGTAACCTTAGAGGTGGTTGTAGTCGTTGTCGAAGAGGATCCAGATTGACTGTTTCCGGAAACCACTTTCACCACGGGCTCATCTGCTGGCTTCGTAACCTTAGAGGTGGTTGTAGTCGTAGTCGAAGAGGATCCAGATTCACTGTTTCCGGAAACCACTTTCACCACGGGATCGACTGCTGGCTTCGTTATCTTGGTGGTGGTTGTAGTCGTAGTCGAAGAGGATCCAGATTGACTGTTTCCGGAAACCACTTTCAACACGGGATCGACTGCTGGCTGCGTTATCTTGGTGGTGGTTGTAGTCGTTGTAGAAGAAGAGGATCCAGATTGACTGTTTCCGGAAACCACTTTCACCACGGGCTCATCTGCTGGCTTCGTAACCTTAGAGGTGGTTGTAGTCGTAGTCGAAGAGGATCCAGATTCACTGTTTCCGGAAACCACTTTCACCACGGGATCGACTGCTGGCTTCGTTATCTTGGTGGTGGTTGTAGTCGTTGTCGAAGAGGATCCAGATTGACTGTTTCCGGAAACCACTTTCAACACGGGATCGACTGCTGGCTGCGTTATCTTGGTGGTGGTTGTAGTCGTTGTAGAAGAAGAGGATCCAGATTGACTGTTTCCGGAAACCACTTTCACCACGGGCTCATCTGCTGGCTTCGTAACCTTAGAGGTGGTTGTAGTCGTAGTCGAAGAGGATCCAGATTCACTGTTTCCGGAAACCACTTTCACCACGGGATCGACTGCTGGCTTCGTTACCTTGGTGGTGGTTGTAGTCGTTGTTGAAGAGGATCCAGATTGACTGTTTCCGGAAACCACTTTCACCACGGGATCGACTGCTGGCTTCGTTATCTTGGTGGTGGTTGTAGTCGTTGTCGAAGAGGATCCAGATTGACTGTTTCCGGAAACCACTTTCACCACGGGCTCATCTGCTGGCTTCGTAACCTTAGAGGTGGTTGTAGTCGTAGTCGAAGAGGATCCAGATTCACTGTTTCCGGAAACCACTTTCACCACGGGATCGACTGCTGGCTTCGTTATCTTGGTGGTGGTTGTAGTCGTTGTCGAAGAGGATCCAGATTGACTGTTTCCGGAAACCACGGGCTCGACTGCTGACTTTGTAATATTAGAGGTGGTTGTAGTCGTTGTCGAAGAGGATCCAGATTGACTGTTTCCGGAAACCACTTTCACCACGGGCTCATCTGCTGACTTCGTAACCTTAGAGGTGGTTGTAGTCGTAGTCGAAGAGGATCCAGATTGACTGTTTCCGGAAACCACTTTCACCACGGGATCGACTTCTGGCTTCGTTATCTTGGTGGTGGTTGTAGTCGTAGTCGAAGAGGATCCAGATTGACTGTTTCCAGAAACCACTTTCACCACGGGATCGACTGCTGGCTTCGTTATCTTGGTGGTGGTTGTAGTCGTTGTCGAAGAGGATCCAGATTGACTGTTACCGGAAACCACGGGCTCCACTGCTGACTTCGTAACCTTAGAGGTGGTTGTAGTAGTTGTTGAAGAGGATCCAGATTGACTGTTTCCGGAAACCACTTTCACCACGGGCTCATCTGCTGACTTCGTAACCTTAGAGGTGGTTGTAGTCGTAGTCGAAGAGGATCCAGATTGACTGTTTCCGGAAACCACTTTCACCACGGGCTCATCTGCTGACTTCGTAACCTTAGAGGTGGTTGTAGTCGTAGTCGAAGAGGATCCAGATTGACTATTTCCGGAAACCACGGGCTCGACTGCTGACTTTGTAATATTAGAGGTGGTTGTAGTCGTTGTCGAAGAGGATCCAGGTTGACTGTTTCCGGAAACCACTTTCACCACGGGATCGACTGCTGGCTTCGTTATCTTGGTGGTGGTTGTAGTCGTAGTCGAAGAGGATCCAGATTGACTGTTACCGGAAACCACTTTCACCACGGGATCGACTGCTGGCTTCGTTATCTTGGTGGTGGTTGTAGTCGTAGTCGAAGAGGATCCAGATTGACTGTTTCCAGAAACCACTTTCACCACGGGATCGACTGCTGGCTTCGTTATCTTGGTGGTGGTTGTAGTCGTAGTCGAAGAGGATCCAGATTGACTGTTACCGGAAACCACGGGCTCCACTGCTGACTTCGTAACCTTAGAGGTGGTTGTAGTAGTTGTTGAAGAGGATCCAGATTGACTGTTTCCGGAAACCACTTTCACCACGGGATCGACTGCTGGCTTCGTTATCTTGGTGGTGGTTGTAGTCGTTGTCGAAGAGGATCCAGATTGACTGTTACCGGAAACCACGGGCTCCACTGCTGACTTCGTAACCTTAGAGGTGGTTGTAGTAGTTGTTGAAGAGGATCCAGATTGACTATTTCCGGAAACCACGGGCTCGACTGCTGACTTTGTAATATTAGAGGTGGTTGTAGTCGTAGTCGAAGAGGATCCAGATTGACTGTTTCCGGAAACCACTTTCACCACGGGCTCATCTGCTGACTTCGTAACCTTAGAGGTGGTTGTAGTCGTAGTCGAAGAGGATCCAGATTGACTGTTTCCGGAAACCACTTTCACCACGGGCTCATCTGCTGACTTCGTAACCTTAGAGGTGGTTGTAGTCGTAGTCGAAGAGGATCCAGATTGACTGTTACCGGAAACCACGGGCTCCACTGCTGACTTCGTAACCTTAGAGGTGGTTGTAGTAGTTGTTGAAGAGGATCCAGATTGACTGTTTCCGGAAACCACTTTCACCACGGGATCGACTGCTGGCTTCGTTATCTTGGTGGTGGTTGTAGTCGTTGTCGAAGAGGATCCAGATTGACTGTTACCGGAAACCACGGGCTCCACTGCTGACTTCGTAACCTTAGAGGTGGTTGTAGTAGTTGTTGAAGAGGATCCAGATTGACTATTTCCGGAAACCACGGGCTCGACTGCTGACTTTGTAATATTAGAGGTGGTTGTAGTCGTAGTCGAAGAGGATCCAGATTGACTGTTTCCGGAAACCACTTTCGCCACGGGATCGACTTCTGGCTTCGTTATCTTGGTGGTGGTTGTAGTCGTAGTCGAAGAGGATCCTGATTGACTGTTTCCGGAAACCACTTTCACCACGGGATCGACTGCTGGCTTCGTTATCTTGGTGGTGGTTGTAGTCGTTGTCGAAGAGGATCCAGGTTGACTGTTTCCGGAAACCACTTTCACCACGGGATCGACTGCTGGCTTCGTTATCTTGGTGGTGGTTGTAGTCGTTGTCGAAGAGGATCCAGATTGACTGTTACCGGAAACCACTTTCGCCACGGGATCGACTTCTGGCTTCGTTATCTTGGTGGTGGTTGTAGTCGTAGTCGAAGAGGATCCTGATTGACTGTTACCGGAAACCACGGGCTCCACTGCTGACTTCGTAACCTTAGAGGTGGTTGTAGTCGTAGTCGAAGAGGATCCAGATTGACTGTTTCCGGAAACCACTTTCGCCACGGGATCGACTTCTGGCTTCGTTATCTTGGTGGTGGTTGTAGTCGTAGTCGAAGAGGATCCTGATTGACTGTTTCCGGAAACCACGGGCTCGACTGCTGACTTTGTAATATTAGAGGTGGTTGTAGTCGTAGTCGAAGAGGATCCAGATTGACTGTTTCCGGAAACCACTTTCGCCACGGGATCGACTTCTGGCTTCGTTATCTTGGTGGTGGTTGTAGTCGTTGTCGAAGAGGATCCAGGTTGACTGTTTCCGGAAACCACTTTCACCACGGGATCGACTGACTTCGTAACATTAGAGGTGATCGTAGTCGCTGTCGAAGTGGATCCAGATTGATCATTTCCGGTATTGTTTTCTGCGGAAATTACGTTCACGACGGGATCTGATGAGATAATTTCCTCTGAGATGGTGGTAGTCGCATCATTCCGTTCCGCAGTTCGATGATTATGCGGAATAGTACTTCTAATCTCGTCGATAATCGAATCAAATTGAATTGTATTTTGTACAACATTTGAACCATCCGCCGTCGATGTTATTTGATTATTTGAACAGTTCGCACGTTTATCGTTTTCCACAATCAGTTTACCGAATAGTCTATCCAGGAGCCACAAGCGAATATCTTTCCGAATCTCTAGCAGAGTTTGTCGCACACTTTCACAACACGGACCGTTAGCAGCAGGTGACTGTGGCTTCACTGCTTCGGTGCTCACTGCCGTCTCCGTATGGATATGAGCACCGTATGCGAGTGCCACGCAGGCGCCCAAAAGGGCAATATAAAATATACGCATTGTCTACCACTAGCTTGGCCTCAACTTCATCTGTTGGCCTTTGCGGCGGTCGGGCTGCTTTTATACCTTAGCTAAAGAATCAAGCTTGTTGTCTTTTCCATAATTTAGCTATTTGCTTTTGTGCAGTTAACCAAATTTTGCATTGTGCCAAAACATTTGGCACTTCTATTGTTCCGAAAAAAGAACTTCTTAATACTGAAGTTTCGACTTTAGATAGTAAAGAAATGAACACTTGTGCAAAATATTTGCTTAGAGCTTAGATTAAATAAATTTTCAGACTTTCAGACTGTTTTAGGTGTACGCAAATTAAATGTGTATTTTATCCAAGACGTCAAACGTGCTGCAATTGCCAAATTATTGGCGTATGAAGAGCGTGTTGCCAAGACAAAGCCTTATTTATTTGATTTGCCAACAAATTAAGAGTGCTCATAATTATGCCATATTCATATTTATTAATTTTTTATTTTATGTATAATTATAGAAAGGCTTAAGAGCTGTAGAAGTCGGACAGCTAACATCTCAATCCCTTTTAGAATTCATCCTTCTCAAATGGATGGTGTGGATGACCATGTTGACTGCAAAATAATCACATAAAAATATTAGTAGGCAATAAATGAAATATACGAAAAGTAGCACAACATTAACACTGCTAAAAAGCTACGGGAAAATTATATACGCTGTTGTTAGTATAGGAAACTCGTGTATACATTTGCAATAGTGTAATTAATAGGAGTCCAAACAAACTAAAATATACAGAAAAAGATTGGAGTACAACAAAAGCGGGTTACCATCTGGTAAAAAAAATTAAAAAAATATGGAGAAAATAAACAAAAACGAATAGGCCATAGAAAAGGGTTTAAACATACGTATGTGCCTCTCGAATTGCCCAGTTGTTAGCTTTAGCCAGAAATATTTATTTAACTATTTGGTTATTTGATTATTCATATTTCAGATGTCTCTTGTTTCTAAATGTAGACAAAGTTCTTTGCATTTTGATTTAATATTCATCGCGAAATGGATAATGCATATGATCGCCAGCTTCACTAAATTTTCAATTCAGATAAACGACAAACATTAAAATAGGAATAAATATAAATAAATAAACTAAGAAAGATGTATAAGACTTAAAAAAGTAAATATAGATCAAACGACCTAAGAGTGAATTTGACGTGCTGTATGCGAATCTAAAAATATTATTGCTCTAACAATTTCTTTGAAATATGTTTATTCAAAAGTGTAAAAATTCATTTTTCGGGCAATATCAATTTTAAGAATTTTTAAAAGTGATTCAGAGATGAGCAACAGTACTTTTAGATACGAATCTTTAGGACCTGTTTTTCTACACTTTTAAAATACAGTTTTTTAGAGCCCACCCACGCTAGGACCATTCTATAGTCAGATTCGAGCACGTCAGAGCCCTTCATCAAATTTGATTGGCCTTTGCTATTGGAGATGTAGAATACTTACTTAATCAGCGGTACCAGCCGTCCATTGCATTCGAAACTTTCAATTATTTCGATCTCCTCGGGAGTTAGAGTGAAATCGAAGACTTTGAAGTTCGACTCGATACGCTCCTTAGTCACCGACTTTGGTATGACAATGTTATTCCTCTGAATCTGATAACGTATCAAAATTTGTCCGGGCGTCTTGTTTTTGGCAGCGGCAATTTCTTTAATCTAGAAGCAGATTTTGGATCAGATTTGGTTGCTCAGTTTGTTCTTTAGTTTAGTTATCTAACAAGTTCATACCTTTTTCTCCTCTAATATAACAGGATCACCTTCCTTGGCCCACGGGCGATTCGGGCTGCCCAATGGGCTGTACGCCGTAATGACAATGTTATTCTGTTTGCAAAATTCAGAAAGTTTCTTCTGTGTCAAATACGGATGACATTCGATCTGATTGGTAGCTGGTGGAATTTTGGCAACAGCCAAAACGCGTTCGATTTGATGTTTGTTGAAATTGGAAACGCCAATTGACTTGACTAGACCCTCCTCCACTAGCTGCTCCATAGCCTTCCACGTATCTACGTAATCGTCCGGCGAGAACAGGGTTTTTCCATTTTCATCAACTGGAAACAGTTCACAACCCTCCTTATAGCCCATGGGCCAGTGGATCAAGTATAGATCCAGATATTTCAGCTTCAACAGTTCCAAGGTATGCTCACAAGCAGCTTTCACCGTCTCTGGACGATGAAAAGTGTTCCACAACTTGCTTGTAATAAACAGATCCTCGCTGTAAGATATCATTGGGATAGGATTGTTTGAATATAACTCCTCTAATAAATGGATGGCTTACGCACCGCTTAACTGCACTTTCCTTGATCTTGGCCTCGATTGCAGCCCCGACTTCAGCTTCATTTTGATAGACAAAGGCGCAATCAATGTGCCTATATCCAACATCAATGGCAGTTTTAACAGCCTCCACCACTTGGCCAGGAGGACTCTAAAATCGACAGAAAAGTTTCACATTTGAGTATGGCCAATGGGCTCAAGGATAAAGGGGATTTGCTAATTAATCTACAAGATTAAGTTTACAATTTATGACTTTCCTGGGAGAACGAAACTGAAGATGTCTATGCCTTATCAGTAAATATATTCATTTTACAGTTTATTAAAAAACTACATTTAAGATTAATTTAAAGTCAAAAGTACAATTAACATTTAAATTTGCTTTTTAGGCCATATGACCTCTAGGCAAACATTATAGTACAGATGAGAACTTAACCAAACGTATAGATAAGCACATTTATCAGTTTTGGTTTCCTACGCGGCGTCTTATTTATAAGTACACTTCAGTTGTACAACATAATTTATCAGTACGTGACATCGCATATTTGAAAACTTTCCATTTGTTATTTAATGCGACAAGAGGTCACCTTGGTGTAAGAGTGTGTACATAACTCAGTTCACATAGATGTCAGTAATAGAACATTGCTGGAGGTCTCATTATCGACTGTTATCGCCTTTGTAATTCGCGTGTAAACCCACATCCACACATACTCGCACTCACACGCTCGCACACACATGTATATATTGCAGCCGGCAGATGCCGCTCCCGGCTAATTATCAGCAGCAAGCTCTCTTCTTTCTTTCTCTTTCTAATTTTCGCAACGCAAATAATAAAATGGAGGAAGTCGTGGGCAGTGCTGAGTCCCATGATAGAAATGGTTGTTGTTGCATTTGCATTCTTAAGGGAATTGAACTATAACTGTACTCAACTTACATTCCAGGTTCCAAGACCAAGTAGGGGAATATTGTGGCCACTGTTTAGCTTAACGGTTGGCACTGTGCTAGCCATTGTAATTGTTGTTCCTTAATGAATTTATAAAAGGATTGTGCGAATATATTTATTTATATACAACTATTTGTATTACTCTCAATATAGTTATGGTAAAAATAACACTGAGCAAGAACACACAGCTGTTTGCTACTTTTATATATGCTCGTTGGCCAGCGACTAGCTAAAGCTTTGTTGAGCTTTCGAAAAGCTTGACGCATGCATTTAAATACGCATCGATGCCCTTTGTGCGATCATTACAAAATATCGATAGGTATCGACTAAAAATGTAAACTTGAATAAGGCTGTTATTTTTGCGAGTCTCGCATTTCGCATTTATTGACTAACCGATTAGAAGTTACCTTGACCGCAGCCCAATCTACGATTTTAAATATTTGTGTGCTAAAAAAACGAAAGAAGAAAAACAGTACTCGAAATAATGAATTACTTCTATGAGACTTAACGGACTAATGAAATTTTTAGCATATGATCTGCTTATTCTATTATTTCCAAATTAACTTAAATTGAATGAATTTGAGGACATTAGAAGCCGGTATGCAAAATATAAAAAAAGCAAAATTGTATAGAATATTTAAGAACTGCATCTCGATATGCGAGTTCTGACCAGTTACCACATACGGACAGATAGACAGATGGACAGGACTAAACCGATTCGATTTGTTGTCATGCTCTTTCTGCTTATTACATACATTTTAACAAAACCAATATAGCCTGATTTCCCATTTTCAAAGCGTTGATGGTATATTGTGTATAAGAGATATATAGATTTGTTATTTTGCAATAGGTATACACACATACACATACATACTTTTACCGAAAAAGTTCCAAGTCCTATAACAGGCATTTCATTTCCATCAGCTAGAATCGCCTTTGATGCATATTTTATTTCCGCCCGGCATCTGATTGAGAATTATTTATAATCATTATTTACAGTTAATAGAATTAAGATTACGTGAGTTTTCTTGTGATTATACGGATCCTGATTGCGGTCTTAATTTCGTTTTGAATTAATCGAATGGGATATCTTAAGAACATCATTCACAAAATAAATTGAATAAGTTATAACTTATAAAATAATTAATTTTTCATTGCTTTTATTTTTCCGAATGAGCAATTTGAAACGTTTCAAGGATTACTCAGATCTATTGTCTTATATATAATACAATTATATATATAAAAACAATAGGGAAGATACCCTAATCTCTGTGCAATCGTTATAAGCAACGTTCATACATACATGCATACGACACATACATACACACGCGCACATAAGCAAGCTCTCTGGACTTTATACTTTATTTGGTCTGCCTGTTAAATATATTTTGAAAAAAATCATTATACGCCGAATCCCCATTTTGAATGGCTCAGGACAAATATATTTTTATTTGAAGATTTTTAACAGAAAAGCAGAATCTTAGAAAGCCAAAAGAGTTCATTTCTATTGTAACTGAATTATATTTCTTAAAATATTCAAATCCATTGCAACTGAATTATATTTTTTAAAATATCGTCATTATTTAACAAAAACCTTAATAGCCTAATTTAGTGATTCCCATATTTCAGTATATTAATTTGACATAAGACATCAGGTACACGAATGATTTCTTGTATCCAAATAACACCTTGCTGTTGTGTCTTTACATTTGCTTTGGCGCTTCTTGCTCAAAAGGGTGATAGGGATGCCCGTATGCCGCTTTCATGGTCATGAAACGCCCATTGCAATCAAGATCGTCAATAGCCTGAAGATCATCGTTGTCCAAACCAAAGTCCCATATCTTCTTAAAGTTCTCGTACATATGATGCTTGCTAATGGAACGTGGTATTACAATAATGCCTGATTGTGTCTGATAGCGCAGTAGCACCTGAGCCGGTGTACGCTCGTATTTGGCAGCAATTTCCAGAATCACAGGATGTTTTAACAGAGGATATGCACCTGGCTTTTCGTATGGGGTGTGCGCCGACCCTAGAGAGCTGTATGCAGTAACAGCAATAGCATTGTCATAGCAGAGTGTGATCAAGGACTTTTGCCGTAGATACGGATGACATTCAATCTGTAGCACCACTGGTTTCAATTTGGCAACGCTCAACAGTCGATTTATTTGCTGCTCATTGAAGTTGGAGACGCCAATGGCATGGCACAGGCCACAATCGACCAGATTCTCCATGGCCTTCCATGTGTCCACGTAATCGATGCCCTCAAATACTGCCTTGCCCGTGTCCGGACAAGTGGGATAAAGAATGTCGCCGGATTTATATGCCATTGGCCAATGCATGAGATAAAGATCCAGATAGTCAACGCCTAGATTGCGTATGCTTGTAGCACAAGCATTTCGCACTAGATCTGGTCTATGGTGGGTATTCCAAAGTTTACTTGTTATGAATAGTTGGTCACTGCGCAGGATTAATTAAATTCATATAATCTTATATTATTAAATTCATAATTGTTGTTTACCGTGTTACGGCGCCTTCTTTAAGCTTTTCGGCGATCGCAGCGCCAATTTGTGCCTCATTTCCGTAAATGTGAGCGCAGTCAAAGTGCCGATAACCAATATCAATAGCATCCTTCACTGCTTCTGTGATCACCTCAGGAGGGCTCTAAAAACAATCGAATCGAAAAAAGAACACTCATTAGAATAAATACTACAACATATTGTCTCTCTCTCCCTCTGGGATTTGTAAAGTGCGAAAGACAACCATTGATATTCATAAGTGAGAGCCAGATGGCCGTTCACCTTTATTCGCTTTCACAACATAGTTCATTTATTTTACTCTAAACTGTTCTGTCGAATGTACAGATGCACAGATTTCGGTTAAAAGTCTATATTTTAAATTAGTATGCAAAGCAGTTTACAGAACTGGCCACACTCATATACAAATTTTAATTTTAGCATAATTATTGCTTGAAAGGGTTACATCCATAACGCATAAATAATACTTATTCAGTATGAGCATGCCCGTATGCATATTTCAACATCCATAAATATGTACATATACATATATGCATATATGGCTATTGTTGTAGTGCCTCGTTTGCAATTGCAGCGCTTTTCAAAGCTCTCTCTCATATTGACATTGAGAACTGCACAGGCTGCGTCGTGCACTGCCTCGTGTGTTTTGCCGCTATTTTGTGATTATTCAATAATTTCGATGGATAATACTTACACGCCATGTTCCCAAGCCGACCATAGGCATATTTTTGCCATTGCTCAAAAGGAAATTCGGTGTGGACATTTCTATTTGAGGAACTAAAGATATTGAATTATTATTTAGAAGCGCGTTTGTGTCCCATTTACCGAAAGTAAACGCAAGGAGAAAAACCCTATTAATTTTGCTACAAACGAATAAAATTGACAGCTTATAAAAATACAAGCAAGCATACGTACTTATAGTCTTCAAATTTAGAAACTTTTTGGCAACCAAAGCAGCTTTTACTATATTGACCTTCACAATTATTTGATAAAATGCTTGCTGCTTGCTGCGGCCTGCTAATGAAAACATTTTTTCTTTTAAAATGCGGTTATTTTTAAGTAAATATAACTATAAAAACTATATGTGCACACACCGGCTTTAATCGATAGTTGTTATTATATCGATAGCTTTAATTATGCATTTGTAACATCTCTGTTATGTTTGCCGGCCATCTGTAAAAATATCAACAAAACGCATTTAAATAATTTTGAGGATTATCTATTGTTTATCTCAGAGATATGTTCGGCACAGTAAATAATTATCTTTCCGGAGTATTGCGTGCTGCTGAGGATTATGATGGCGACAATTTGGGCACACTTTTATCGCTTCGCGATGTTCACGTTCAGAATCACAACTTGTACATCGCCCAGCCCGAGAAGTTGGTGGAGCGCATGTTGAAGTCACCATTGGACGAAGTAGTGGGCTCACATCTGAAGGTGCTCTATTATCTGGCCCAAGAGCCACCCAACTACATGGATGCATACAATCACCAAGCTGCCAGCTGTTCAGCTGTAGTGAAGCTATTGCAGCAGCTAAAGGACGAGAACTGGTGTCTCCCTCTCATGTACCGCGTGTGTCTCGATCTGCGCTACTTGGCACAGGCATGTGAAAAACATTGTCGAGGCTTTACTCCGGGGCACATACTGGAGAAAGCCGCTGACTGCATGATGGCTTGTTTTCGCGTTTGCGCAGCTGATGGACGAGCTTCGGAGGAGGAAACCAAACGACTAGGCATGATGAATCTGGTGAATCAACTTTTCAAGATCTATTTCCGAATAAATAAGTTGCATCTGTGCAAGCCGCTTATCCGTGCAATCGATAACTGCGCGTTCAAGGAGAGCTTTCCTCTGCCGGAGCAAATAACATACAAATATTTTGTAGGACGGCGCGCCATGTTTGATTCGAACTATCGGATGGCTGTGGACGATCTATCATATGCATTCACCAACTGCCCAGACCGCTTCACGAGCAACAAACGATTAATTCTCATATATCTGGTGCCGGTCAAAATGTTGCTTGGATACCTGCCACGCAAATCTCTGCTGGAACGATATGATTTGTTACTCTTTCACGATTTGGCGGTCGCCCTGAAAGCCGGCAATGTAAAGAAATTCGATGAGATCGTCCATGAGCAGGAGCTGGTGCTGATTCGTAGTGGGATCTACTTGCTTGTGGAGAAGCTGAAATTTATTGTCTATCGTAATCTATTTAAAAAAGTGTTCGCCATAAGGCGGACACATCAATTGGATATGGGTGATTTTCTATCGGCACTACAGTTTGTAGGCGTAACTGATGTTTCCTTGGATGAGACGCATTGCATAATTGCAAATCTTATTTACGAAGGAAAGATTAAAGGCTACATATCGCATGCCCATAACAAATTGGTCGTTTCCAAGCAAAATCCGTTCCCGCCATTAATTTTAACATAGACTTATAAGACTTCAATAAAAGGATCTGAAGATATTTAATAATATTTGTATGAATAAAAGTTCCTTGTTATTAACCCGCCAGTTAAATTTTGGTGAACTATCTAAAAAGAATGACGATAATAAAGTGAGTACCGATATGTGCCAGGGTTACTAAGGTATCGTGTCTATCGATACGCACAACCGTCAATAGTCAGACCGCATGCACACACACTCACACATTCGCATAGGCATACGTATTAGTCTGTATATATTCTAATAGCTCAGCTGAAAACAGTTTTCGGTGCGCTGTAGTAAATAATAAAAATTAATTAGGATAATTGCAAATTTTGGTAAATGCTAGTTAAATTATAAATTATAGCATCTCTTTATAAAGTAGTGCAATTTAATTGGATTTCCCTAGCAAAATTCCACCGGCTCTATGGAATCCACTTGCAATTGCAAAATCAATATTAGTAATTTGCTTTGTTTTTTTTTGTTGAAATGACATAACTAAAACGCATTTGAAATTGTATACACATAGAAATTAACAAGTAGTCATTGTTGTTATTGCTGTTTTTATAGCGTACCTGGTGCCTACCTATAGGAAATATCGAAAAACGAAAGAGGCTAAACGTTCGACATGGCAGCCCCGGTAATTGTGGAGGCCACGGTGAAGCAGACGGCAACGGTAAGTGCGACAAAGCAAGATTTCAATTTAGTTACTAATTTCCAGTCACCGGTATATTCAGCTCATATTCATGCACGGCTTGGGCGACACTGGGTAAGTACTGTCGACCAAGTCCTTGGACTATATTTTTTAATTGGTCTGATTGTAGACATGGCTGGAGCAGCGCTTTGGCTGCATTGCGTCCGCCGTTTATGAAGGTTATCTGCCCAACGGCTCCGACACAACCTGTGTCTCTGAATGCTGGCTTCCGTATGCCGTCGTGGTTTGATTTGAAGACTCTGGATATAGGTGGGCCCGAGGATGAGCCGGGCATACGAGCTGCTCGTGATGATATTCATAGCATGATCCAGAAGGAGGTTAACAGTGGTATACCAGCCAATCGCATTGTACTTGGGGGTTTCTCACAAGGAGGTGCCTTGGCGCTCTACTCGGCACTGACCTACGATCAGCCACTAGCTGGCGTGGTGGCTTTGTCCTGTTGGCTGCCACTTCACAAGCAATTTCCCGATGCCAAAGTGAGCAGCGATGAAGTACCCATATTCCAGGCACATGGGGACTACGATCCTGTGGTACCATACAAATTTGGACAGCTGAGCGCAAGTTTGCTGAAGTCGTTCATGAAGAATGTCACCTTCAAGACCTACAGCGGATTGTCGCACTCGTCTTCTGACGAGGAGATGAACGATGTGAAGGTGAGTAAGCTGAATGCACGATTGAATTTATTGATGAATCTTATCGTTAAAGAATTTCATTACACTCTCTCTGCTCTTCTCTCTTGCAGGACATAATCAGTAAATGGGTAAAATAAAATTTCCATTAAGCACTTTAAGCACTCTTAGCGCGTCTCTCCCTCGCTCGTCTACTGCATTCCAGCCAGGCAAAATACAAATACAGCAATAACAATAACTAAAACTAAAATCTTAAATTTAAAATCTAAAAATTCAACTCAATTTGAATCCAAAACAAACCGCAGTAAGCAAGCCTCCAAAACTTGGAAACACACACAATCTGATTGGGCTTTAGTTGATTTTTTCTTATTTTTTTAGACAAATTGCGAAACGTTAGAGAAACACAATCAATATATATATATATATGCTTCGTAACTACACCATGTAAATCTGAACATTAGAGCGAGATATATCAGCGAATGAGTATTTCTATGAATTCTCTTTTCCAGGAAAGAGAGAAATTATGTTTCTTAAATTCAGTTGAATTCGAAAAAAAAAAAACAAAAAAAAAATGAAATTGATAACTACCAATAAAAAGATACTTAATCCAATTAAAAAAGAAAGCAAAATAATTTGAAATAAAAATGATTAAATAAATTAAAATTATTAAAAATAATTGAAAAAATATATTGAAATTTAATTTCAATTCGATTCAGTTCAAATTCAAGGTTTGCTTAGATTATATTCTTTTTTCAGAAATTTCTACAGATTCAAGAGTTATAAAACTTATGTTTTTAAGATTAACATTTAACTCTTTTTAAACATAAATTCAATTTTGCTTATATTCTTTTTTATTTCTATTTCTATTTTATACAGCAAGAATCACAGACACATCATCTGTAGTTGAATTTAGTTGAATTTTTTTTATACAATAGTTTGTGCGTTGCTTTTTCTTTTAATTTTTAGAATATGTCAAATAAATCAATTTTGGTCATGTTTTATAATGCTTTTATTTTTTACATTTGATTTTAATGATAAAGATCTTTAGTCGCCAATTGAATACCGTTACAATTTACAAACACTACTCTCTATTTTAATCACATAGAGCTTTTCGCCTTACTCATTCATCTCTCATCTATATATTTGCAGACGCATTGGGAGGGCCAGAGCATGGCAAGAAAGGCGCAATGCTGCCAGATATCATAGTAGCTATATGCATAGGCTATGAGAATTGTAGTTGCAGTTCCTTCCACAGTCCCTAGTCAAGAAACGCGCCCGTGCAGACGTCTGAGAAGTTTTTGATGTATTTTAGATATTATTTTGTACATACGTATTATGTAGACTTTAGGCATATTAAATAGCTATTGAAAGTCTCCACATGGTGGTTGGATGTAAAGCAGATTCGCTAAAGCGAATTAAACTAATAAAGTTATGTGACGAATAACTTGCAAAAGTGCTTAAAACTTGAAATGGGAAACATACATGAAATATATAAAATACTGAATTGCCGTCGCCACTTTTTCATTTGATGAAGTCGACTTGATTTGAATAAGTCTCCGTTCTAACAGCAAGTCACAATAGCACAACAAGTAATCGATACCCGATAACAGCGCACTGGCTTATGCATGTTCAATCGAAATGCTGGCGCTAAATTTAAATATAATTTTTTTTATACAAAACTTGTTGCACATAAATTTGCTGAATAACCAAAAAAAAAAAAAAAAAACTTAAAACAGTGAAAGTTGAGCCACTGATTGTGAGCTATAGCAATTTTTTGATAAGACTTAATTTGATGTATGACAACCAAAAACCGGCACATTTAAATAAATTGCTTGATTTTGAGCAAAGTAAACAAACGTCGAGCTCTGCCCCTTCACACACACGCACTCACACCGATGGGCACACGCAAATACGACTCACACACCGACCCATACACATGTACAGCCAAATAACGTTCACGTTCGTGAACCATTCACGACTTCGCTGCGCTTCGTTCAGTTGTTTCCGTATTGCCGCCAAGTTTGGACGCATTCGCTCCGCTCTTGTCGCTTCCAAAGTTCGCGCCGTTGTCGTTATAGTCGTCGTCGCCACCGCCGCCTTTATTTTGATAATAAGAAGCGCAAGTGCAGCAAAGCCAGCACAACAAGCGGATAAACAAAATTAATGGCAATTGTGAGTGTTGAGCAAATGGCAAATCAATTTAACCCAAAATACAAATAGGACAAAGGCAGCCAAATCAAAGTCAGAAAGCGAAAGTTACTTGTTGTACCTATTTACAAACTGCGGCTTACTGCTGGGGACACTGTGCATTGTGTAGTTAGTTTTCTTCTTCTTCCTACGCTGTTGCTTGGGTCACAAAGGAAGCTTTGTAACGTGTTAAATGCATTTGCGCTGTTGTCATTGCCCACATTCCATCTGCAAAGTGCAAAGGCATATGCACACAGATGCATCTATGTAAACTCATACAGGCACACGCACACACCCACACACACTCACACACATCGGTATATGTATGTGTAAGAAGTGCGTTGCGGTTTCTTCTTTTTTTATTGCAATCTTTTAGATATTTGCTTTTACTGCTTACACATACCTTTACTGTGTGTGTGTAGGTGTGTATATGGCTGCGTGCGTGTGTGAAATCTCTTATGCGGCGCCCTGTTGCGCCCTTGAGGCGCACTTCCTCGCTATTTATGTACATAAGGTGCGCCGCCCTCTTGAAGCAATGTGCGGCTCATAAAAGTGCTACGAATCGATGAATTGCATTGGCAAACTCTCCGTTATAAAGATTATAACCAGTGATGGTAATCTAAAGCATGTATTTACTCTATGTGTATGATAAGCATTTCAATTCATAATTTTGATAATATGAAAAAAAAATATAAAATTTAAGCAACTGTGTAAACAGAGAAACAGGAAATTTAAGTTCATTGTTCCTAAGCATTGCTGTACCTTACGCTCATATTCGGAAAGTATTGGATTGAAATAGTAAATATTAATTAAGAAACAATAAATCGTCACAGAAAAAGAGATTAAAAAATTTGTTCTTCACCAAAAAAAAAAAGAAAATAAAACTTTTAGAATTGCTTAGTGTTTAGTAATGTAATATTAAGAGAACCCATTAAAAATTACTAAAAATGGTGTAATGTCTTTGGTACATTTAAAAGTAGGCGTGATCAGACACAAAGCGCATACATAACTTTAACTTGAACGACGATATGAGTCCATCTAGCCGTGTCCATCTGTCTGTGTGTGTCCTATATATATTTTGTGTGTATACTATATATATATTTTTTCAATCCATTTCATTAAGTTTGCTAAATATCAATATTTCGTCTTGATTTCTGGAGTATTACTCGATATTTCCTTAGACTAGATACAGCAAATATAAGTAAGTTGAGCTTCTATTTATCACTTTACACCATTTGCCTGTCATACTCATTCAGGTCGTACATCTAGAGCTGTAGTTACTGAATAATTGAACAACCCTTGCAGCGGGCTGGGGGCTGTGGGAGTAGCAAGCATAGTTGCTGCATGAGGTGCGCTGTGAAGCTTGTGCCCATGGGTATGGGTATGAATACAAAAAGCTTAGAATGATGAAATAGCTTCTCTGAACATGGCGCTGTCACTCAACAGTCTCCAGTCGAGTGTTTAACCCAGTGCTAACTTAGCATAGGTCAACTTTCTTGCTCTACAATATCTTCAATTGCAATTTCTCTCGCAATTATTTTGCATTATTTTTAAAAACAGTGTTTTGACTTCTCGAAGTGCTCAAACACGTAATGGCCTTGAACTCGCTCTGATTGTAATCAGCCATAAGCTGAAACGTATTAATCATACACAATTGTTTTACACAACATACAACAATTCTCGCCGCCAAAGCTTTAAAAATGAAAATAATAAAATGAATATATGAGGCGAATACCTTTTTAGAGTTAATTATATATTCTTCGAAATATGAAAAATAACCGTTTGCCTCCACTAACTAGTAATCAATGTAACACGACTGTGATTTATTATTGACTTTGTTGGATTTGGCCTTCGACTCTTGGACCCTATGCCAATTCGTCATTTTCTCATTCTCAAACGGGTGGCAATTAATTAAGTATGATCCATAATTCCGCTCCGGTTCTTTGTTATGCTCTAATAGAATTCAATCTGGACTTAAATATATATACAAATGTAGATATATAGAAATGCTCATTGTATATATACCACATAGCTAACAGATCGAAACGTGATTAGCACAACAATAAAATCGTTTCTACGTCATTAAACGCAATCAAAACTGATTAACTTACTTTCCTAATCAAAGTTGTTTTTTTATTTATATTATGAATATTATTTAGTTTTCACTATTTTATGTTTATATATTATTAAATTTGTGAAACATTTTCTAATTAAACTTAAGTCGCTTCTAAGTGCCGCCAAAGGTGATTGTATGGATTTTATACATATTATCCACTCTTCTTTGGTTTCGGACTCCTTCGTTAACTAAATAGCGAGTCCGTTGTGTCGATGCCTTCATCTGTCTATACGAACTCAGAATATTTCATCTCTATGTATATTAGAGACTTCATTAACATCTATCTATGGACGTAAGTGCGCTCGTCAGATAAAGTGTTTGGAGACGCCCACTGTGGGCACTATTGAAGCTAGAAACATGGAATTTTGAATATCGACCTCGGAAATTATTGAGTTCATATAACCTGAACCCGTTGACAATGTATCGAATAGGTATAGACTTCTTATGAAAACTTAAGCAACAAGTTAGAAGGTGACATTGTCGAGCTCCGCTTGCTGATCAGAGTCTATATCGATCTGAATGATTGGATGCATACGAGCGAGAGACTAGATATTTTACAGCCAGATCCTTCTCCCAGAACGAGTTCAACTTTAAATGAATATAATTAAATTCGTTTTGTAGATATCTCGTAAATTTCAGTGACTCGAGTCACCTTTATCCCTCTCATTTACATACTCAGCGTGATCAGGGCATCTTTCAGTCGGTTACTTCCGACTAGAGCACTATATAGATTGTTTTTGAAACCTTTTTCGCGTGTCTAATCACGTCAATCAAAATCCACTTAAAGCAAGATTCCATCTTCGACTTCCATAAACTAATAAATTTATGTGCATTTTTATACAAATATTGATTTTATTTATTTATGAATGCAACTACTATTGCCCCAATGCTTATTTGCTACCTTAAAATTATTTTTTGAATAAATAAATAAAATATTTATTCTATGTGAATTGCTAAAACTTTTCAATGCAAATTTCGAAATTAACTTTTAAACTTTGCCTGAGGAAAAATAAGCATAAAAGCCAATATTTTTTGTATCAATATTTAACAGCAATTAATAAAATATTTATTCTAAAACTTTTCAATGCAAATTTCGAAATTAACTTTTAAAAATAAGCATAAAAGCAAATATTTTTGTATCAATATTTAACAGCAATTAGAAATGAAAGCAAAATTGACATTTGCAGTCGTGATTAACTGCAATTAAACTTTCTAGTGCTTAGTATAACATAAATCAGCTAAAAACTGGTTGTATTCAGGCGCAACCAACTGCTTAATGCCCGCGCGCAGTTAAAAAAAGTTTAATTTATTTAAAATGTTTTAATTTCAGCTTGAAAATAGCTACATTTAATCAGCAAATGATCAGATAATTTAGAACTCATTCTGTGGAAAAGGTCGGAAGTGATTCACTTGAAAAGTTTTGTGGTTTTAACTAGAAAAGTAGGCAATCTGCCACGCCTTTCGTGGGCTTATATAAATGATTAATAGGCAATCTATCGGAGTGGGTCAACAGCAATGTAGGCTGTAGTCAGACGGATAGCCAAAGGGACATTACACAACACTCAGGTACTCTCTATACCGCAAATCAAGAGAGTTTTTGTTGCTCATAATATTGTTAAATATATTGAACTTTCGCAGCCCATAAACAGGTATTGTTTTGTGTGGCTCAGCCACCTGTAAAGCGACGCTCGCTGCTAAATACGAAATACTCGGCATGAGTCAAGCGTTTTTTTGGTGTAGTTGTGTTCCATGTAGTGCTCGCTATGGGGAACATCAGGCAGACAGTGGCAATTAGCATAGATCACGACTCGGATGTGTGTGTTTAATATGCTAATTAAGCATAGATTTCAATTGCAGCGTTTACTTCCGCGTGGAAAGACTTTCCACAGCAACATTTATCAAAATTTAAAACGAATGCTCAAAGTGATTGTATAGAATGACAGGCAAAGCCTCTTGCATTGGCTTATTTAAGAGGTGCTGAACGGAATATAAAACTTGTTTCAGGTCTCTTTGGGCAGACACTCGTTTCGCTTTGCTTTAATCGAACGCTTCGCTGGGCACAGGAATCAGACGGCGCCAAGTACATTAAGCAAAGCAAATATAGTCAAATCAGAGCCGATAACTAAACTATTCATTATTTAGCTAATACAGGGTGTTTCAAGTAAAGGGCCGAGGCTTTAAGGGTTACTGTTTTAAAGCTGGCGTATGCAGTTTTACACTAGATTCGGAAGCAGGCAAATCAGACTTCTTTAGTATCTAACGTGTTTTTATTATGGGCTTTGTCGCGAAATTTTAATGTATGCAGTAACTAAACAATTCTAAACAAATGCAATTTCTTATCTTTCTACTTTTAAGTCACATTTCTATTTTGAAGATTTACAACACTTAAAACTCGAAACACTTCATAACTCTACAATTTACTTCAGATTAAAGCCTAAGAGTTTTCTGACAAACTTTATAATTAATTATTTCATATAAGAACTGTGACTACGAGGTGCTCCAATTCAATTGCAATCGTTACAAGGTAATCCCAGATGCTTCACAGATTTGCCTAAATATATAGTATTATATAAAACAAAATATATATAGTCTTTTAATATACAAAATTTTATTCTTTGTGATTCTCGTATATACTCGCTTTTAACAGCTGCTCACAGTTCCACAATCTTTCCTGGATTAGTGTTAGTGTTTCTTATGAGACTGTCTCATAACTCTTCTTATAAGAGTCGTGCTATGTAGTAATCGCATGTTTGCTTATTATTATTTTTCTTCTTCTTATTGTTGTTGATGTCGGAAGCATTTGCTAAGTTAGAATACAATTAAAGCATCACAACAAATTTCGTTAGCCGCTGATTGCCAGACGTAAATATTTCGCTTAACAATTATCGGCAGTGCGACGTGATGGATCCTCGATAAAAAGCGCCGTGCCAAAAGCGGAACAATCGTGATCCATCTGTTCAGTTCCACATGGCTTCAGCCGCAGCTAGAGCTCAGTCAGAGTCGTCGAGTCATCGGCTCTTCACTCTCTGCCCCAACTGCACCGCTAACATGAGTCGACAGTTTTCAGTTTTAGCCTTAGCTTAACGATCGCACGATCGGAATGATCTAGCCATAAAGAGGAGCTGCAAAGGATCTGCATAGGCTACGTCTGTCTGGCTCTTGGCTGTTTGATGCGATGCAGATAATAACTGCATTATCAATTTGAACAGGTTTCTCGTTTCACTCTCTACTCTAGGGAACATGGATACATAAATTAACTGATTCCAGATCTGTGAGTGACAAAGCAGCAAGGCGAGGAATTAACTGCCAAAGAAGGAATCGGGAATTGCGGAACCGGTTTAGCCCCCTTTTTGATTTCTCTCTTTGCTTCAGCTTAATTGGCAGGCAAAATGTATTCCAACTTTTATGTCACTCTTAACTTTTGGCTAACTTGGCTTAAAGATGCTGCTTATTTCAGGTCAATTTAATTTCAAGAATTCTTATACTAAGTGGTGATAAGTTCTCTGCTTCGAATGGGTAGTGTTTAAAAAAATAAAAATATATAAATATATATATAAATATATGGGAAGAGCAGGAGTAGATACTTGACTTACAGCTAAAGCTTACTCAGTCAACTTTGTTTAGTCGAACTCTGATTGGCTGATTGGCCAGAATCATAGATGTTTATACATATACATATAAAGCTTTATTACATATAATATACATTGCTTAATTTTTTGTACTTGCCATTAGAATTTGTAGAATAATAAATATATATTTATAAAAAATGCATTGATATATTTACACTGATAATAGCTAGACACTTAAAATTATAGACAGTTCAGTCTATATTATGTAAATTATTTGGATTATTCCAAAGTAAACACAAGCTCAGAAATGTGCATTTTTGTTGTTTGCAACATTGAGGTATTTTACCTTGTTCATTAAATGATATTTTCAAGCTACGTGTATCTTAAAGATATATTTGAAATTAAGATTAGGTCATTGACTTGCCAAACACATTCCGCTTCTATGTGCTTATATAATATATTTATATATAGATAGATATTAGTACTGAGTATTGCTAAGTAGACAATAAAAATGCATGGTTCGAACCGCTGTGCCATAATTCCTTTTCACATAGTTTAATGAGGCGCGTGGTTCTTGGCATGCCAACTGCGAATTTATGCAATTGTATAGCAGCAACAACGATAGCGGCTTGTGAAGGCCGCAACAGCGAATAATCGCGAGATAAGAATGAATTCAAAGTTATTTCATTTTTTTTATTAATGATTAATATTATTTATTTACAGCGCGTAATCAGCCGCGGGCCTCGCACAAACCAAAACAAAGTGAACCGTAAATTTTTGTATAATATTTCGAAAGCAAAACAACGATCCAATGATGCGTGTGGGACAACAACATAAACAATAACAACTCAAAGAAGAGAATCCAAAAAAATACCCAATAAACCAAATTCAAAATCAAAACGAAGACAAAAACAAACACAAGAAAAATATCATATCTAGAATCAAGTTAATGAAACAATCTGAAATCGCGACACGTACGACAACAACTACCCATAGTATACAGAGTATATCAGGCACTCGAACATAAATCTATTCCACGCTTTTATAATACCTAACGATCTATCAGAAAACACTATAAACTCGAACCCAAACTTTACAATGGAACAAACGCGCAGTGTCTTTAGTAAACAGTCCAAGGATGTCGAGTTTCAGGATGTTTTCTACACAGTGGATCAGCGCACAAATTTCTGTGAGTATACAACTTAGTGTAGTATAATTATAGTATATATTATGAGTCTTTTAGTTGTCGTGTAGTTTCTATAATAAAATTCTCCTAACTTCTTTGAAATCTTAACGGGCTTAAATTAAAATATATGCTTTGCATGTCTAAAAAACTTTATAAATGGAACATTTATAACAATATTCTCCAATATACCTGTCTAAACATTATTCAATAAAAATTAAACCTTCTTATTCCACTATCGTGAATTGATATAAAAGCTCAAAAGATTAGTATTTACTCTATTTACCTGGCGCTTGCCAAAATATATATATTTTTAGTGGGTCTCACTCACCGGCAAAGATTATACAAGTTGTTATTGAAAATTGAAAATTTGGTCAGATATAATACTTAGCGTCTCTTGTTAATGAAAACTAAAATTTAAAAATTAAAAAAAAAAAGATGTATAATAATAAAAACTAAATAAAAAATAAAAAAAGCTGAAAAGGGAGTAAATTTAACTTATAATATATAGAATATACATATATAATATATATAATATAATATAAATAATTTAGAAACAAAAAATTTAAACAAAAAAATAAAAATAAAAACTAATTAACTAAAAATTTGAATATTCAAAATGAATATTAAAAATGACAAATATTAAATTAAATTGAATTATAAATTAAAAATTTAAAGCTGTATTTTAAATAAAAACTTTAATATAAATTAAAAGTTAAAAAAAATTTTAAATATGTATAAAATTTAAAACTTGATTTTACAAATTGTAAGTAAATGAAATAAATGAAAGAATAAAAATGGGAAATTTAGAATTAAAACGTATATAATTAATATAAAAAGAATATAAAATAAAAAATTACATATAAAGTGTAAATGTCAATAAAAATTTGTAAAATTCAAATTAGAAGAAAATTAAAAATAAAAAGTTGTAAATTTGAAATGAAATTTTTACAATTAATAATTATAAATATGAAATTCAAAATATATTAATATATATTGAATTGAGAATATGGAGAATATTTGGCTGCCCAAAACTAACTAAGCTTAAACCAAAGAGAAGGCTCATAGATGCTTAAAGCCAGCTAGACTCGAGGCAGGCAATTGGCTGGAACCTTAAGCGGAACCAGTAAACATTTTTGGCTTACCTTTACGTCTGTGGAATCTTACCTAATGTATTTTTAAATGAAGTACATTTCGAAACTCCGACTTCAAAGTTTTTACCTTTGCATTACGAAATAGTCTTGCAGCATAAATGCATATAAATTGTAAAATACTACACATAAATTCTGATTTTTTTAATTTTTAAACATGCTTAGAGCTGTTTGGGCGAACAACATGTCACACTCTCATTAAGTTAAGCAATAAATTTAAACTATTTCACAGCTGTACTTAATTTTTTAAATATGAGCTTAAGCTAGAAGTGTGTGCATATAACTGTCTACGAAACATTCGGATTTTATGGCCGCATTTTATGAGGCCATTCCAAGATGTTTCTAATATATTTTATAGTACAGTTAGTTACAGCTGTTGTTTAACTATTACATTTTAGTTTAAAGCTTGCCGAGTTTCGCAGTTCGAATTGCGAGTCGCGGGTAATTTAAATGTTGCCTTAGTTTCGGTCTCTTGAGCTATTTAGCAACTTCTTGCTGGCTGGCCAAGCACTAAGTGGCGGCAAAATAAAACAAAAGCATAAAGAAATATGATTTGTTATTTGTTGTTATTGCTGCTCTAACATCAATTACAACACACCTGAACATGTTGTACTCGGTGTACATTGAAAGAGGGTATTACAAATCTGAGTAAAAGAGTCTAACAAGACTGGTTGATATTGACCTCATTTAACTTGGGCTGGCATAAGGATTCTACAAAATTGTCAAATATTTGTGCATAGGGTATCTTCAAGTCGTATACTTTACGAATAGCAGCTTGAAGGCTTGCTTCTCAGTTGTCAGCCTATTATGCTAGGCTTATCAAATGCAAAATGCGATTTGATCGGCTTACTTTAGCTCAGCTCAGCTTAGCTCTTGCATATGCTGACCTCATTGAACCCCGGCATATATCAAATGTTTAGCTATCAAATTTGGTATGTGAGTTCTTTGAACTATTTAAAATGATTTCTGACTCTATGCCTACATATATATATATATATATATATATATATGTGTAAGCATTAAGGTCAGTATATCGCCATATACGTTATTTATAGGGTATTCACAGCCTTATAACTCTTATAAACCCATTTGCAGCTTTATGTTTTTTTTTTTAATTTTGTGAACTTTTCAAATGAGTTGCAATTTGTTTGAGTATTGGCTGTGAGTATTAGCTCTAATGGGTCCCATTAAACACGAGATCTGTTAAATCTGCATATATCAAATTATGGGTTGTTAAACTGTTTATAATGATTCTCAATTATATGCAAGCTTAACTTTTTTGTATACCTATCAGATCTGGCATTCAATTTGAAGAAGTCAGCTGGTGATTTGAATGGTCAGCTCTAATGGACCACCCTGAACTCGGGCTCTATAAGAACTCCACATATAAAATTAGTATGTGGATTGCTTTAGCTATTTGTATTGAATTTATACTATGCATCTGCGCAATAGCCGGTTTTTATAGGGTATTTTCTAGCTATATATTGTGCAAGCTTAGTTTAATTTCTGGTTTATTCGTTGACAGCTTTGGTTTTTTCAGTACTTGTCAAACGTATTGCAATTCGGCCAGCTCTGCTCAGTTATTGGCTGAGCTATTGGTCAGTTGAAGTGAGTTCCCCATTCTCAGCAGTTCGAAACTTGTTTCCGTCGCACCAATGTCTCGACTGCTCACAGCACTTCGATATTTCGCCATTGACACACAAATTGATTCGAAGCGAACTGCTCGAGTTGTTTAATGCAAAACCCTTGCCAGACCCCCAAGTTCACAGTACGCCTCGAATTGTGCAGTGTCACAGAGCTGTCGACTACAAAGTACACACAACTGTGTATGAACGTCCGCCGGACAGTTGGCATTTGGTTTGGGTTTGATTCGAACTGACTCAGCTGATGCCGACTGCTCATGACGTCACAAGTCGCACAAAAAGTAAAGCGTGCGCTGCGCCTATTTGCATAAAAGTCTTACGAACTTATGACTATATATATTTAAGCTATCAATGCTAATTCAGTGCATGTAAATGAAGCTGTCAAGTAAATAAATATTCATTTCAGCTGCGAATAAAGATTGACAGTTAAAGGGCCCCAAATGATAATCGCCCTTCACATGCTCAAACTTAGCTAGGACTGGGTAGCTTATGAACTGGCATCTTGCATTTCTAACTGATTAACTTTCTGCGTCGACTCTCGTTCACGGAGCTAATCAACATTGCTCATACGCCATGTGCAACGTGCAATGAGTGCCGCGCGATGTCGCCGCATGTGGAATATCACAATAGGCGATAAGTAAGCACCCACGCACACACACACTTATATATGTGTGTTTCTGTATGTATCCACAAATTGTGGACAGTTACAAGCGACTTCCTCATACACTTGTTGCTAACTATTCAACGAACTAAGCGCGAGCTGCGCCTTCATCATTATCAGCGACAACATCATCATAATGATGTACAGATGATGGTCATGCACACAAGCAACAATACGAGTAGCCGCAACTCGATTATGTTGCATAGTGGAAAAAAGAGAGAGAAATTTGATCAACTTTGATTGAATAATTTTCCCCTTTTGCGCTTTCATTGAAAACTCGCAGCGATAATTTCCACTTTTGTAGTCAACACTTTTTCCCAGCTTTTCCTCAAACTAAGCGCGCTCTGTAATACAAGCTGAAACACTTATGCTATAATTGAGTATGCTGTAATTCTCTATCTTTGTCTCTTTTTCGTGTCTTTCCCACTCTCTTTCTCCTTCTCCTTTTACTACTAAATTTCAGTCTATTCAGTTTGCTGCATACATATATATGACACTTGCAGAGTGATGATACTGTGACTAGAATAAGTAAAAGTGCTCTAAGCGCGCATGTTCGACTATCAAATACTCTATCTTGGCTTAAGTCGATTACATTTAAGTAAAAATAGTTATCCATGTAGCGCCTGATGCCTTTCCTCTTTTAGATTTCGAGACATTATGAAGATAATCATAATCGAGAATATATATAATTTATGGAATATATACGTTGATATAATTTATGGAGTATATATGATATGATTCAATATATATTACAATTAATTTTTGCCACTGTAGCTCTAGCAAGCTCTTAAATACTCGTGGCTTATAAAGCGTTCACACGAAACTAATTAAACTTGTCAAATTGAAAGATTTGCTACTGATTGAAGTGCATTATAATTAAAAACTATTAGTATAACATTTTATCATCGCCATCATTATCATCTTCGTTTATTCATTTATTCTGTGTTAAAGTACCCATTAGCTCAATATCAAAAAGCAACTAATATTAATTATAAATGTATTTGCATTATTCAGATTTGTTATGCAAATGTGGATATCAGCGGTCGCATTTATCAATGAACTTGTGTTGAAAGCATGGCTTAGCACTTAGAATTGACACTCAAATTTATGGAGCTACAATTGAAATTATAGATTAAAGAGCTCGTCATTTAATGGGGTTCGATCTGCACCTAACTGAAATGAAAGCGATGTTTCTTTAACTTGTTACAGGCATAGAACCTTTGAAATAAATTCCAATAAAGCCTTTAATGAGCACCAAATTGAAATAGAATTTTTATATATTTTTTAGATTTGATGTCGAAAAATAATTGATCGCTCAACTTATCAAAAAAAAAAAAACAAAACTGTTTAAATATAATTAATAATAATTATTTAATAATAATTCATTGATAATAATTAATTGTAATTAAGTCGAGCTTATATTTGGGAAATAGTAGGTTTGCATGTTAAAAAACTTTTTTAATAAAATCATTGTATTTCCTGATATTTCTCAATATTAAGGGGCTTATCCAGGACTTTATAAGCTGAGGGCATCAACGAGCTTGTTTTCAATTTCTAGTCTCCAGCTTCAAGGGTATCCAATGCTTATGGACAGCCGAACAGACAGCAACAAGGACGTTGCATAGCACCAATATACTCTTCTTTTTTACTCTATGCACGAGTATAAAATCACGTATCAAGCTCAAAGTTACATACATTTTTGCAGCGAGCAAGAAGTTCTAATCCGAAACCGAAGCACTGTAATTGTTTTTATAGACTTGTAGCTCAAGCTATATCGATCCATATATAATCTGCATGAATTTGACTTCATTAATATTCTAAAAATTAGCAGAGAGAGATAAATTGTTAATAAATTATTTTTGCTTATAGCGCATTTGGCTCGAGGAGAAATTAATTGAAATGTTTTTTGCTTTGTCTTCCATTTATAGGTAATTTGATAATGAAACTTTGAGACTTAACAGCTTTGCGTTAATTATTCAATAATCATTTTCAGAAGTAGTTAATTAGCTTGATTCATGTGTGATTCATGAGATTTATAAGAGATTTAAATTCAGCTATTTAAAAGCCTCATCGACACATAACAAAAATTGCAGCAATTATCGAGGTCTGATCTATTAATGCTATGTGGCTAAGCAAGCTGTTGGTTGTTCCGGTAGCTGAGGAAAAACTCATGTTTATCTTCTGATAGAACCTATCAAGAACTGAATCTCTAGAAATACGATCAGTTGTTGTCATGTAGTCACGTTTGCGACTCATGGAGCGGGCCAACCGCCCACCCGGACGCATTTTAAGTTTTCAGTCGAATTCGCAATTTGCTCACGTCGCACTTTGTGACTGACTCACTCGATGTTTGTTCCCTCGAACAGGTAGCCAGTCCACTGGAGTTCACCTACTTTTAACACTGGCGCCTGGCGCAATACGAAAGTGGGCGTGGCCACAAGCAAATACCCGCCTGAATAACGAAAGCCAAAATCTTTTTCAGAACTTGGCGTCAAATTGTTATTGTTGTTGTTGTTGTTGTTGAACCAACTCAAACAAATTCAAAACAACGGAGATATGCGAGAAGCTAATTGATATGTAAACTTGGCCACTGGTCTGCGGGCATACGACTCAACGACTCTAATACTACGTCTCCGTACGTTGTTTTGTTTACGAGCTGTGCTTTTTGTTGCTGACCTTCTCTGATTTACGCGTATTTGCGATTTTTGGCTGTTGCGCAAGGAATTCCAATGGGCTACCACAGCGCGCTAGGAGGTCTATGCAAATCTCTGAAATGCCTAAGCTGAGGGCGGGTACGATGAAAGCTAATGGCCAAGTGATCTGAGTTGATGCAAGAGCTGCATAGTAATTAGTTTCAGAAGATTGGGAATTGGAAAAGTCGAACTCTTTGTAAATCAGATTTGAACTATATAATTACCAAAGACAGCAATTTATGAACAAGGCTCAAGACTTCTTGGTATGCACTATGCCTATAATGCAAAAACAGTTACAATTCAGCATTAACATTTGATAATTATAAAATATATATTCGGTCTTTATAATCTTGACACTAATATAACCTCGAGATAGGCGTTAGAATATTAAGAATTTCGACTAGAAATTTATTCATCTGTTTCCAGGTGCTGTGTATAACCTGCGGGCTGCCATTGAGCTTGTTTTTGATTGTGTCTATAAAGTCAAATATTTTTCTTCTTGTTCTTACAGTCCATATCGATCTGAAGTCTAACATACAAAAGTGAAAAGGCTAAAAGAGGTTTTATTAAACTAATCGCCAGACATTTATATATATATACCACAACAATACTATTGTTGGTAGTAATTTATATATTTGTATATATGTGTATATTAAATATTACCTCTAATCATACAAACAAACTTTGGCAACTCAGCAAATTTGATTTGCTTCTCCTGTTGTTGGCAATATTACTTATTCAGTAATATTACTTATTCAGTAAATATATCAGCAGCGTAATCCTTTCATAAAGGTATCATGTTATCAACATAGTGATCGCTTGCATTAAATCATACATGATTTTCAAAAATATATAAAATATAATATATATTCACATTTGTATTTTATTTCATTATTCAATTTATATTTCATTTTGTGGCCACTTCCATCTGCTGTTCAAGGTTCACGTTGAGCCTTATCTCTTTCGCAGAGCAACACATTTCCGTCTAGACATTAGAGTTGACACGTAATAGGAGGAATTCAGCTAATCTCCGGTGAATTAGTCAGTTCAACTGCAAATTTGTTACTAATTGAATATTAAACTGTTTCTATTTCATTTGAAGTCTCCTCATTTTTTCAATACATTCGCCTCTCGATAAGGAATGGCTTACTTTACTACTGTAACCTATTAGCTTACTTTCGCATATAAGCAAATATATATGGGTATAAAGTATGCTAATAGGTTAAGGTATACACATGTATATATATGTATATATGTATATATGTACATCCATCAGACTCAGGCGACAGTTCAGGGCTGTTGATAACACCAATGGAGGATTGACACAAACACCCTCGGGCCAGACACGAGTAATGAAATAATGGAAAGACCTTCGAAATCCTTGACCAAAACATGATTATTATGTATGATTGTTATGTATAATATATACATATATATATTTGTAATCGAGTCAGATTTTTGCACATTATTTAAAAATAATTAGAAAATAATGTTGAGTCAAGTTAGATCGTTTGTCATCATAAATGATTCCTGACATTGTCTGATCAAACAGAATTAATTAGCCATCTGCCGTGCCTAACTCGAGAAGCCAAACGTGTTTTGGGTGTTTGAATTCCGATCTCAATTAAGCAAGTCATGATGGCTCGTAACTACTAGCCATTCGATACGTCTCGATTCGATATGATCTCTGAGCTTGGCGTTTTACCTCTTCATTTCGCACCTGAACTGTGGGCAATTACTCCACAAGCTGTAAAACGTTAACAGTAGCTATTCACACGATTCACTTTTATTACCTTAGCAAAGTATTACGAGCTGTCGTAAAGATAGCAAGCGATTTGTCTAACTCAAATGTAGAGGGTATGCGTGCCTTGCAGAGTGATTAAGTCAGCTTATGCTTGGACTAGTATATTATTATGTTGTCAATTAGTTGTTATTAATTGAGTTTTTATTCTAAATTTTCATTTTTCACTTGCAGTTCGCATCGCTGCGCAGCAACAAATCTTGAAAGGCGTCAGCGGCAGCTTCCGCAGTGGGCAACTGTCGGCTATAATGGGCCCCTCGGGGGCCGGAAAGAGCAGTTTGTTGAATGCGATTTCGGGTTTCAGGTAAGCCTAACAAAAATTATACACAAATTAAAAATGTACAAAATACAAAATACGAAATACAAAATACGAAATACGAAATTCAATGCCACATGAACTTCTGGAACATGACGAAATCAATCTTGTAACCGGTTGAACGCTCCGAATACTGGAAATGTGACGTTTTCTAAAACCAACAAAAATCAAAACAAATCAAATCGAATCAAAATAAAACAAAACAGAAAGAATATCAGTTATGCTGTAGATATGTAGTCCAAGATTCAAATTCTCAGCTTTATAGTCTGGCTATAGCACATTGCTTAGCCATAACAGCAATAATAAGCCTAATATATGTGCAAGTTTTATAAAGCTGAGAATTATAGATATATAAATAGAGCGAAAAAAGCTTCTTTTAGTAAATTAAAAAAAATAGTAAATAATCAAATAAGAAGAGCAAACTGAAAAATAAAAATAAATAATAAATAAATAATAATAAATTTGATCAGTTACATTGGATTAGTTGTTATTATTTGCATTTTTTTTTAAATTGTTTTGGTTTGTTAATAAATATGTATAACAATAATTCTCATAATTATATAAGCAAAATTATAAATATTAAAAAGTAATAAATATCAACATAAACTGCAAATAAAAAAATATATTATATATATATATATAATATATTATATAAATCTAATAAAAAGCACAGTTCAACAGCAATATATTTTATTCAGAAATCCAATTCCCTAAGGAACAGTTGTATCGCCCTGAAAAGGAAGAGCTTTAGGTCAAACCCTGTTGGAAGATTTGCCTCGCTCCCGAAGGGTAACGCAGCAGAGGACGTGAACAGTAAATTAGTCATTTATTGCTGAGTGTCCAGCTGAACAACTGAGTCAATAGCAACTTACTCAGACCAACAGATTGTCGTGAAATTGAGTGATCAAGCATCAGATGCGAATCTGAAACCAGAATAGCGAAAATATTCTAATTAAAATGTGCAAAAAAACTCGTTTTTCGGCTACATTTGAAGTATTGATTTCTGGTTACTGAATTATGCTTGACTGTGTAAATTAGTAAATAATAATAAATGAACAAAATCAAAAAGAAATCAATAAAAAATATAATTATAAATATATTCATATACATATATATATATATATATATATATATATATATATATATATATATATATACGTCTGTTATATAAATTGATTTTGGACTTGCTCAGTCATTGCCTCATCATTTATTTCGCCACTTAGCGAAGTTCAATAGAAAAACTGAGAGGGAGAATATATATACACATATAAAAATCAACTGGATTTGAAGGCCAGCCTAGCAAATCACTTTTAAGCAATCGAAATTTCTATTTTAAACAAAAGACATTGAGTAGCTGAATCGGAGTCTGAATCTGAATCTGAATTTGAATTTGAATTTAATTGTAGAACAACTGGCGTGAAAGGCAGCATCAAGGTGAGGCGAGATAATGCCTGCTATATAACGCAGGATGATCATCATCAGACACTGCTCACTGTCGAGGAGCTGATGAATCTCTCATGCGATCTGAAATTGAAGCAGCGCCACAAAAAGGAGGAGATGCTGACGGAAATACTCAAGAATCTGAATCTCAATCATCGTCGCAACGTCACCGCCGAGCATCTGAGCGGCGGGGAGCGCAAGCGACTATCCATTGCGCTCGAACTGGTCGATAATCCCAACATCTTCTTTCTCGACGAACCGACAAGTGGGCTGGATGAGGTGACGGCAGCCCAGTGCATCCGTCTGCTGAAGGCAATGGCCCGCGAGGGTCGCACCATTGTCTGCACCATACATCAGCCATCGGCCACTATCTACAACTGCTTCGACAGCATCTATGTGCTGGCCAAGGGTCAGTGCGTGTTCCAGGGCACTCCGCAAGCCACAATACCTTTTCTGCGTTTGGCCCAGATCGATTGCCCACGGCACTACAGTCCCTCGGATTACAGTGAGTAATTTGATTGCAATTCCTTGGCTTGCCTTAACTAGTTCCCATATTTCCAGTTATTGAGGTAATTGATGCTGAGGAAGGACATCTGGTGCCGTTGCTCAGCGAGCTGACAGAGAATGGCAAACTGACTTATCATACCAAGCAGCCGGACTTGACGCTGGAGCCTCAGCAGGCCATCACAACTCTGTTCGTGGAGCAGCCGAAGCGTCAATTCTTGCCCGCATTCTTCGCCGGCTCAGCTGCCTCCACAGACGGCACATTGATGGGCGCTGCTGGCGCTTTGCTGGAACAGGTGAAAGTGTTCTCGCAGCATCTGCATACAGAGCGACGCGACATCTCTGGGGTGCAGCAGTTTCTAGTGCTGATGCGTGTTATGCTGTTGCGCACCATGCGTGCGCGACTAGCATTGGCCATCCAGCTGATCCATCATACGCTGTGTGGCCTTTTCTTTGGGCTGATCTTCTTCCAGCTGGGCAATCAGGGCGGACGCATGTTCGATCATCTAAAGTTCTGCATTGGCGCGGTGCTCATGATTGTCTACACCCAGGTGATGGTGCCCATACTCAGCTGTAAGTGCTCGACAAGGCAAGTAACGTAGTCCACGCACTATAACCTTAACGTCTTTTCAGATCCCGCCGAAGTGAAGATAGTCAAAAAGGAAACCTTCAACCGTTGGTATTCGCTTATGCCCTACTATATGGCGTTGAGTGTCTCGCGGCTGCCGCTGCAGGTGCTTCTCAATCTTACATTCATGGCCATGACTTATTGGATGTCTGGACTGCCTGAGCAGTTGTGGCGCTTCTGCATTTTTGTGGCCGTTGGTCTCATGATCTCCCTCGTGGCCGAGGGCATGGGTCTGGCTATTGGCGCTACCTTCAGTATAACGGTAAATTATATTGGAATTACCTTTTGTATATCTATTGATTCATATTGTCTCACAGAACGGCAGCGTGGTGGGTCCCATGATTATAGCACCGCTCATGGGTCTTGCTATTTATGGCTTTGATTTTGCCTCCCAAATTCCTGGAGCCATGAATCTGTTGATGAAGTTTAGCTATGTGCGCGTGGGCGTGGTGGCCTTAATATTGGCCGTGTTTGGTTTCCAGCGTGAGGAACTGGACTGCGATGAGATCTACTGCCACTTCAGCGATCCGCGAGTGCTGCTGAAGTTTTTGGACGTCGACAAGGTATCGATACTTCATCAGTTCGGGCTGCTGGCTATGCTGATGATCTTCTTCCGTGTCATTGTGTACATCAGCTTGCGCAAGCGCTGCTACACATGAGCAGCAGCTATATATAATACATATGTAGTTATAGGAAAAGTCTATGCTGTGATTTGGTTTTATACACTCACATGTAGTGGAGGTGCCTAACTAGTAATATAAACTTAACTTACAGTTGTACATAATTCTAACAGCTTAATGTATTTTGTGCTCAGTTGATTGCCCCTTGTAAACATTAATTTAAGTTGGTGCTTAGATACCCATTAGTAATATAAATATCTGATAACCATATCAGTTCCAAGTATATCTACCTAAGGTAAAATATGTTGACATATATCGGCGCACTTTCAATGCGTGGTACGTAAGCTTATTTTTTGTAAGATTTCTGGTAATAGTGACATGTACATATATAAGAGATATTATATTTTTACACATTGAAAAAGAAAAAAAAAACAATTATAAATCTGTCTTTTACTTTAAACATTGGAATTATTATTTTCGTAACGTCTGCTTTAAAGACCGCATACAATTTTTAGAAGCATCCTTTAACCATGCGTGTTTTAATGTTTAAATTACAGTTGGCTCTTAACTATCGATAATGCTATCGATTAAAACTCTACAACACGAGTAATCAAGTGTTAAATATGTGTTGGCAACACTGTGACCAAGCAGTTGCTTTTGCCGGGAAACCGAACTTCAAAAAAATTAAAATGCGTATATACATAAATCAGTCACCATATTTATTCAAAACGATGTTGTATTATAATTATTATGATAAGGATGATAATGGTGCGATGATGTTTATGGATAATAACTCAAATTCAAATATGTATGATGTGCACACAATTGTATCCTTTAAAGCGTTGAAGAACCATTATAGATTTACATGCTCGGCAGATACTACAAACCCATTTCGATGTCAGACTCATCGTTGGGCAGCAGACTAGATGCAGCATCTGGGTTCTGCTGTTGCATTTGGTACAATTGCTGATTGTGTTCGGATTCTGCTTTGGTCACAGTTAAGATGTGTTCGCGCAGCGGCTGGAGCATGTCAACCACCTGTCTGAACTCTGTTGTTAGCTGTGGCGGCAAGCCTACTAGCATGTTGCTCACAAAGTCATCCATTACGGCGTCCACTTCGACATTGTTTCCATGTCCGAGTTCTCCACATAGATAAAGCAATGTTTGCAGGCGCAGGATGAGCTCTCGCGTAGGCTCCAACTGGACGTTGCTTTGACACGGTGCCGCCTTCAGGTCCATTTCGGCTAAGGTACGGCACTTTTCGTACAGCTTGTTGCGGGGAACGCATTTGCTCAGCAATGCTTCTTTCTCGTACTCGGTCAGATGTTGGTGGGCCACGCGCAGTGGCTCCAAAATGTCTGCATTAACGCGATGGAGCGTTATCATGTTGGCCGCATACCGTCGCTGGAGTTTCTCGCGCAGAGGCGTTTGTTTCGTTTCACGCCGAGCGGGCGCTGGCAAGCCACTGGCCTCCACTTCCTCGTTCATACTGGCCATATCCTGGACAGTCTTTCGCTTGAGGGCCACCAGCTTTTGCAGCTGCAGCAGCGAGTCGAACAGAACCTTAACCTCGTCGCCATCGACGGATAGCTCCGAAGCCGTTAGCTGCTTGTCCTCTGAGCCCTGTACGATGCTAGACAATGGCACAGTTTTGCACTCCTGCAGTACGTGGAGATGGCAATCTTGCATGCTGATTACTGTATTTTTTCCAGCAATATTGAACTTGACCAGGTAGCTGCTGTCCTTAGGCTCGAAGCCAACGACACGCCCCTTGCAAAGTACCAGAGTTGGCTCGCTCAGCAGGCTGATCACCTTGCAATCCACTGGTAGTGGCATTGGTATAAGCTTGGGCATTAGTTCCAATGATTGTCTGTCGTGCTCCAAATCAAACTTTCGCTGCTGAAGCTGGCGAACAATGTTCCGACAGCGCTCCAGCTCGATGCGCTCGCCAGCAATGAAGGCTGTCGAGAAACGGCGCGCCTTGCCCATGTTGCGGCGTATCATCTGCCATGAGCGACGCGGCATTTGGCGTGTCTCGAGCTGGGGAAAGAAGCTTTGCACATAGCTGTTCATGTCATAGGCACTGCCCAGTATTGCCTTGTCGATGAAGGACTCGATGAACTCGCACCAGATCCAGCGCTGGCAATTTGGCTGCTTCAGATATTTGTAAAGCTTCTGATTCACCGGTAAAATCTCCTTTACAGTAGTATCGACGTCCGTCTCCTGACCTCCTTCAGCCGAGCTCTTGGCACGCAGTCGCTTACTGAACTTCGGCAGCTTGATAAACAGCTCACCATCTTCCTTGTCAGCTGTCTGCGATCGGAGCAGACGTTGGGATTCATTTGCTTTCGACATGCTACGCACTCGATGTAATCCAATATTTGACAACTGTGGCGGTGTTCCAGCGGAATCGGAATCGGTTGCTGCTTGCTTAATATCTGCAAGATGATCAGACATTTTGTACCGCAAGCTGGGCTATATTATATTTATCAATTGCTTTCAATTACTACACAAAATCTAAATTTTACCTGCGCCTACGTCCTGACTCCAGATTTCACAATCTTTTACAGGGACTACTTGTTCCAAAATCACGATAATTGAAAAAGGGCTAAAATGACATTTCCGTTGCGAAAACAACTTCGAAATTGATTCAAATACAGAGTTGCAAATAAAAAGGGGTGACCATATATTCTGCGGATCCTCGAAAATTAATGTGCGAAATTTGAACAGCAATTGCGTACAAAACTAACTGATTTTGTATTTATTATATTTTTTAATATTAAATCTTTCTATGAATTTTAAAGGTAACCCAAAATCTTTGATGGCAACATATAACAATTGTTTTCTACTTTTTAATGATACATCATTTCCAGAAATGTTGGGGTGTATCCAAACCAATTTGGCTACTTTTTTCTACATTTTGTTCGACTTTGATAACCCGAATAGAAGTCGTAGATTTTCCATATCGCAACTATCTTTACTGGTCATCTTTGCCTTGATTTTCGAAAGCATTGCATCCGTTTTGGAACAGTCGGAGGGTAGAGCGGGATGTACTTCGAGGTTCACAATTTGCCCGTTCCTGCTGGCATTAGACACTTCTCGCAGCTTGCGAGTGCCGTGAGTAATCATCATCTGGAATCAGGTGGTTTTTTTCAAAATAACATTTAATTGAATTAAACGGAAAGAAGATACTTACATCCATTAGCTTTAGCCCAAGTGGCCGATCTGCCTTCTCAATACCAAATTTCTCGCAGAGATTAACGCAAGTGTGCTTCAGGGCATGAATCCCGATGGTGTTTAGAGTGCCATTGGAACTGCTCATCATGTAGAACATTCGCACTACCAGACACCACCGTTGACGTTGCCCTGGAGTCGCCTTCTGCCAGACGTGGCTTCTGCCCAAATAGCTATGGCCATTGAAGTTTACATCGAAGTGCGGCACTGGCAAGGCCACCCAATAGTTCAGCTTCGTATTGACCATAGATTCGGGCAGTGGCACACATCCCGGTCTGGGATACTTTTCTATAGGCAACTTGATAGCTATAAGAAACTCAAACACAATGCGCGTACTGCACTTCGCCTTCAGCTGGGTGGCGATGATGGTATGGGCACTGACTGGATATTTAGTTGTATGATAGCACAGTTGGTAGCTGCGTCCTGTGCCCCCTTTACACGTAACCGTTGGCTGTGACTTCAGCAACCCGTTCAAATCATTGCGTAAATGAGTTTGTAAATAGACTGAGGATATCAACGAATCTCCTACTATCTGCTCCTTGAACACCGAGTGCAAATAGATATAGTCGTCACGTTTGATGTCAGTGTAGAACGGAAATCGTAGATCCAGCAGCAGATAACAGTTAAAGTTGGCCGGCACATCGATGCTATTGCCGCTTATATAGGTGGCTGCAAAAGCAATGGTGGCAAACATTGTGAATAAAGACTTTACACCCATCCTTACCAGTTGCCGGCAAATTGCTGAAGCTGCCAGCGAGCATTGATCGACGCTCCTTGAGTACCGTGTTTATCCAGCCAGCGATAAAGGCAGAATCATAGAGGAAGTCCTTATGATCCTTCGGCGGCACCTTCAGTTGCATGACAATATTCTGAAGCCCCTTATCAAAAGTTAAAGACATTTTCCTTTGACTCGCTCAAATAATTTGATTTTTGAATCTAGCTAATTAACTAAATAATATTTGAGGAGCTCAATTTTCTTTAACCCTATTTGTGATATGATCCAGGTAAAATGATTCTTCTTCTTTTATAATGTCAACTTTTGAAAGAACGTAAGTTTGACAGTAAGCATAAAATAAATGAAAGGAAACGCTGCTTATTCAAAAGAAGTGAAGCAGAATTCCGTTTAACGGTATTTGTATCTAGTATTGCCATGGAACACATGGAATAGATCACTGCTTATTTAATGAGAATGGAATGCTCAGAAATTGAATCGAATGATAGCTTTATATATATTTAATTATATTTAATTATCGGTATATACAAACAGAGTTCTGTAATTTCGTACATTTATAATTTATGTACCAAAATAAATATTTAATGTGCTCAAATCGAAACTGCTCAATATTTTGATTTGGAATTTCATTTACATTGGAGGCATTAGAGTTAAAATAAATTGGGATTAGTTATACTATTTTTTCATGGTGCCGATTTTTTCCTTGCGTTTCTTCACATGCTTCTTTACTTTGACCTTTCGCTGTTCAGCCTTGGCGTCCTTAACAGCTTTTTTACGTGCCTTTTTGCTTTCAGGGGACTCGTCACGTGGCCGCGCCGAGTTTTTAAACTTCGACGTATCATCTGCATCCTGAGAATCATCGCTTTCGTTATCACTCGTTTGGTGTTCACTTCCCGCACTTTTACTATCTGCATCCAAAATATCTGGAGTTTTCTGCACGTCTAATGCTGAGGTTAGACCTGTGATTTTCGCATATACAAGATCTTGCTGGACACCCTGTTTGGCTTTCGTCACATCCCGCTCAAAATGAGGCACCTGGTAAGGAGTATTACAAATCATTATAAATTGAAAACTTGAATTTTTCGTGTGGTACTTACCTCATCGAGGCGTTTGGGAATGTAGGTATTTTGCCAAACGGCTTCGTCGATCTTTTCTTGAGCTGTGATGGCATCAAAGTCCCGATCCTTGATACGTTCTGAAATACGTTCTAAGCATTCCTCCATATTCTCCTCGTTTATGGTTTGGTCCGTGATGAAGTCGAATAGCTCTTTCACCGTCATGGTGGCCACTGACTTCTTGCGAAAGAATTCCGAGATATTGGTGCAGTCTTTGCGTAGAAAGTCGAATGCATGTGGATGATCATGTTCGACCGCTTGGCTCACGTCAATGATCACCAGTTGACCGTCTTGAAACAGTATATTGAACTCTGAGAGATCAGCATGTACCAGACGGCATTGATTATAAATACGCCACATGATGACCACACAGTCGCGGTAAAGCTCACGTGCCTTCGAAGTGCTGATCTCCACGTCCTTTAACTTTGGTGCTGGCCAGCCATCGCGACCGCAGAACCGCATTACCAACACATGCGAGCGCAGTAGAATAGGCTCAGGAACGGGTACCCCAGCATTGCGCATGCGCAGATAGTTACGCATTTCTTTCTCGGCCCAGGTCCGTACCATCTTACGAGGATTGTGCTTGCAGTAGCCATGACGGAAGCGAAACTCGCCAGAGACATACTTGTCGCGATCCTTGAACACAAGTATGGACGTCTTGTAGATCTTAATGGCATACTCATCTTCCCCATTCTTGGAGACTGCATGGTAGACGTTAGCCTCCTTTCCGGTGGATATGCAGCCGTTGATTTCTTGAATAAGACCCCGGTTAAGCAGTTTGAAGAGTATCATTCTCGTGCGAGGATCCATAACCTGCTCTGCCGTCGCTCGATCATGCTTATCTCGCACTCGTACACGCTCTGTCTCCTGACGACGATCGAAGCTCACAAGGCGGTTGGCCGCCTGTGCGCTCATATTGGCGTTCGGATCATATTTCTCTACATTTATGCGTGCCGAGTAACGACGCAATAGTTTTTCATTTGGCTGGTAACTGCTCACGCGCTGTGTGCCGCTTCCTGCCCCTCCTGAGCTGCTGCCCATGTTGTTACTACCAGTTGTAGTAAGCTGCGGTTGAACGTTGTGCTTGTTGAAACCACTGTAGGATTCCTCGTATGCATCGTAGTCGTCACCAATATCATAGGCATCGTCTTCATCTTCATCGGCATAATCTGAATCAGTTTCTTCAGCAAGATTTACATCCTCTAAAACTTTTTGGCTAAGTTCATCGCTCGCATTTTTTTCGCTTAGTTTGATATTCTTGAAAATATCGTGTTCCACTGTGAGGGATTTAAAGTCTTGAACCCACTCAGACTTTAATGTATTAAATATTATTTATCAAATATTTCTTAGCATTTCGAAATTAATCTGAACTTACAGCTTTCAAGTCTTCCTCGTCCTCCTCTGGATCGCTATATTTGTGTGCATCAGTCATTGTTTGAGTGAAAGCAAGGTGTAATACTAATTGCGAATTTGAAGGTTTTTAAGTATATTTTTGAAGCTTTGTATCCAACTTTTTGTATTAATAACAATTGTGAAATGTAGTAAGCTTGCACGTGTAATTCACGAACAGCTGTTCGGTTGCCATTCATCTTGCACGGTGACAAAACTATCGTATATCGGTACAAAATGTTAGAAAACAGCTGTTCTGTTAAAGACAAAAAGTCCACGCTATTAATAATAAAACAGCTGGAAAACAATGAAAGTACAATAATAATTTGTGCCGGTTAAACTTTACTTATTCGTATACACCCAATCTAAAAACATTTAAAAACACTCTGAATAGTCGAAAAACATGTTTGTACTGGCGGAACTTAAAGACAACGTACGCATTGCGCCAGACCATTTCAATTTAAAGCTCGTGGATGCTGTGCGCGATGAAATTGACCGGAAGCTAGCAAACAAGGTAATTAGAAAGATTTGTGAATGAAACTTTTGATTTACGCGTGTCTCGCATTTGGCAGGTGTTGTTAAATGTTGGCTTGTGCATAGCACTTAAGGAAATTGTCTCACTGAAGGACTCAATTATTTTACCAGGAGATGGCGCCTCACACACGGAGGTTCTGTTTCGCTATATAGTCTTTCGTCCAATGGTAGGCACAGTAATGACTGGAAAGATACGGAATTGTAGTCGTGAGGGAGTTAACGTGACACTGGGCTTCTTCGATGATATACTAATTCCACATGCTGCACTGCAGCATCCGTCGCGTTTCGATGAGGCGGAACAGGCCTGGGTCTGGGAATATCCCCTAGATGATGGCAGCAAACATGATCTGTTTATGGACGTCGGCGAGCCCATAAAATTCCGTGTCTCACGGGAAATATTCGAAGAAACATCGCCCATCGGCCCGCCAAAAGCTGAAGGTCAGCAATCACAAAACGCCAGCAGTTCTACCGCGTCAGCCGCAGCGACAGCTTCAGCACAAGAAGTGAAGACGCCCTATAAAATTATCGTAAATTTGAATGTAAATAATAAGAGAAATCAATCATTCATTTGAGTTAAATTTTTTCAGGGTGCTATCAACGAGTCTGGCCTAGGTGTGCTCTCCTGGTGGGATCAACAAGGCAAGGAGGAGGAGCAAGACGTTGAAGACGGCGAAGATAATACGGAATATGATAATGACGATGATGGCGAGGGCGCCTGCGAGGAATGACGAAGGAATAGTATTGCCTCAACTACAACATCTGTAAATACTTAAGTATTAAGGCATCATATTTCTAGCTTTAAATCATATAATTTCTAAAAAGATTTTGTGTAAAATGAAACGCAACATTTTCAAATAGGCTTTAGTTTATTTTATATATATGTATATATATATATATATATATATATATTTGTTTTTTAAAATTTGTTTGTTTTTTAGATTTGCATTTGTTTAAATATTGTTCAAGTTTGGTTTGAATATGTTCAAAACAATGATCCTCACATATATGATTTAAACTGTTTTTGGTAGCGCAGCTCTTTTACATAAGTTAGTTTATCCATTTATATATATTTATTTAATAATTTATTTTAGTTTATGTTTTTAACTCTTTGTCGTTAGCGACTTAGTTCTAGGAAGGGCGGCACAGGGACTTCAAAATATACAATTTTCATGATTTTTTCTCTTGATTTTCTCATTCGAACGTTGCTGGATTTTGTTTTCTTTTACTTTTCATGTTTCATTTGCTTAGCGTGCACATTTTCTAAATATTCTAATTCTAAAAACTGGAATATTTTACTTTAGTTAAATTGTTGTTTGATTTGTTGCGGGGTTTTAGCATAGTTATTGTATGGTACAATTGATAAAAAGGTGTTTTCCTTGTTTGTGTGTGTGTGTGTGCTTCAGGGACGCTGCAAAGGTGAGCTAAGTATAAAGCTGTTTGGCAAACGTTGCCTATAGATAGATATTCGCTTCAGTATTTGGAGAGTTGTTGCTTTGAACAATAAATTGCATAATTTTTGATTTTTCCTTCGTTATTTATTTAGCATTTTGTTTGTCTTTTAGGCGCAATCTTTATAATTAATTTACATTCACATACAAGTATGCATATAATATCTATATAAGTTGTGTTTTCTTTCTTGTTCCTTTTATGGTTAATTACAGTGAGATTAATTCAAAACTTGCTTTAAAACTACAATAATATAAATAATTTATTATTTATAATATTAGATCATCATCTATTGTACTGTGTAATTGTAAATAAATATAATTAAGGGGGTCTTTTATGGTTAATTACAGTAGAACTCCTTGAACAGCTTCCAACTATACATATCGATATAGTTCCCGTTGAAATCACAGTCGAAATCATAGATAGAAAATAAAATCTAGGATTTACAGAGTTACGAGAAGTTTCTATAGCACAAAAGGAACTTGCCGACTAAGAGTAAAATCATTAGCATAGAATTGGATTAGTTGAAATCGTAAAACTGGATCTAAATAAAAATCAGTTGACTTTCACATTCACATAATAAAGTAATCCATAATCAATTATTCGATTATCAAACATCGTGGCAAATGCTCCTTCAAGTAGTCGAACAGCTCATGCGAGGCGCCCGGACAGTTGGTCAACTCCAGTTCCTGCAGGTGACGCAACTGGATGAGGCTGGACAGCCCTGACGACGTCAGCAGCGGGCAGCCAGCCAGCGACAGCACTTGCAAATTTCGCATCGAGCACAGGTGCTGCAGCCCGAAGTCTCGCACCTGCGAACACCAGCGCAGAAAGAGGGCTGTCAGCGATAGCATCGTCGAGATATAACCGACACCTATATCTGTTATGTGAACGCATCTGCAAGAGAGAAAAGTAATACATTTATAAGTAGAACTAATAGGAATGGTCTAGTATGACTGGATAGGAGATACTCTAAGCCACATGGCGTGCTTATGCTTATGGGTGAAGGTATCTAAAATATATATTATGAACAGTATATGCATTTGACTCGGCAGTTGATCCTGATCAAGAATCTATAAGCTAAAAACATACTATAAACATACATACTATAAAACATACTAAACATACTATAAAGTTTAACTGCTCACTTTACTCTGCTCACTTTAAATATTATTTATATTTATATTAGTTCATATTTCTAATTATTTAAGCAGGTAAATTGCTTAGCTTTCGGCAGGTAAAATCCTTTTAGAAATTGTAAATTTAATAAACTTTGCAGGAGCAGCCAAAGCGCAGGAGGAAATTGAATTTAACTCATGAATAATTGCCAGTGGCTGCAGCATAGCACAGCACAGGTATGTCGTGCGCACCTGTGCTGGCTGTGGGCGGTCGAGTGTTGTTGGTAGTTGGTCTACTCACCTGTCCAAAGTCAATTCCTCCAGCTGGTTCAGATCACAGGCGATATACTCGAGCGAGGCGTCCGTGATGCGGGGACACCAGGACAGGTCCAGGGCGCGCAGCTTCTGCAGATTCTCGGCAATCAGCTCGACGCCGTCGTCGGTGAGTTTGCTGCAGCCGGACAGGCTGAGCACGGTCAGGTGTGGCAAGGAGTGCACTGCAAGCAGAAGATATAACAAAAACTTTACATTAACTTTAAGTGGAAACTAAGGCGCAAAAGTTTACGTAGCAGCAGCAGCAGCAGCAGCACCTGCATCAGTAGCCTGCCTGCTGGCCTTGCCAGATGCCACAGTTATCTTGGCTTAGACTCATAGTTTATTTAGCATGTAATTCAAAAGGAAATTAGTTTCATTTCAACTGAAATATTTCTCAAGTATTTATATAACTTAGATTGGCTCTACATAAAGCTGCAGCACAAGAAATGTTGCGCCTGTCGCCCCTCAGCCATCCTCGTAGATACTCTATGTTATCTAAGACATTTGCACTGAGCAAAAGTCGTCTGCCAAATTTAATGAAATTTTTTAACTATTAAGTGGGTTTTACTTGTTCGAGACTCTTAGACGTATTTAATGGGAAATGTGATTGCAATTTATCTATATGTTTTACTTTGGAGTCGTTTAGGTTAGAGCAAGAATTTGGTTCACATTAAGGCGTTATTTTCGAGAAGTATTTTTGAAAGTTACGTCCCTCAAAAACCTTTTCAAAATTCCAAAATATAACTGTTTACCGAATTATCTGCCTGCTGAAGGATTGTAGGCGAGGCTAAGTAATAACTGGCGTGCCATTAGGCAAAAGGCTGTTAGCAATTCTTCAATAAATTTAGTTATAAATATACTTAAAGATAAATATACTAAGCCTTTTTCTAATGTATATATTCAAATTGAAAAATTTTAAAAAAAAAGTTAATTGCTTTATAAAAAAGACAAAAGTATTTGCTAACATTAAGTAGCCTCAGATCAAATACTGAAAATCTTCAAATGCTGAATGAATTGTTTTATAACTGAGACAAATTTATGCGTGGACTCTTCAATATTGATAAACTTAATATAAACATGCTTTGTTTTCAAAATCCCTAAATTTTTTAGTTTGTTAAAGCTTGTTGAAGCAACGTATGTTTCTAACACGTCTATCTAAAGTGCTTTTGCTCTGCTTTTGCTGCTGCTGTTGCCTTTGTGTTTCGAGTGAAAGCTAATTGAATCTGTGGAATAATTGAGTTTTGTGGCTATATGTGAGAGCATTTGCATAGATTCAATTTGGTCAACATTAATTTGCAGTTGCTTCTGCTGCTGCTGCTGTTCCAGAAGTATCTACGATTATGTAAAAGTATCTCACAGATACATTTGCTAGGCTGCATCTGCCGCCTTTAGTATTTGAATGCGAATCATGGACCTGGCCAGCGGCTGATGACAATGACAACTTTGTTCTAGTTGCGTCAGCCACAGTTTTGTGCCACATTTCATGTGCCACATTTTGCGTCTTCTCTTGCTATTTGAGTTCTTCTTTGCAGCTGTTTGTCTCTTATAAGTAAATGTCTTTATTTTAGTTGGCATTTAATGTTACGAATTACAATTTGCTTTTGAGAGCAGCTGAACATTGTGTAGCGAAATTTAAGACAATTTTAAATTGAAGTCTAGTTAAACTGGCTTGGGCTACTTGATGTGGCGATGGCCCAGAGAAAGGAGTATTAAGTCAAAATGAAAACGTAAAATATTTTATTTAATTTTATATTTTATATTATGCATTTCGAAGAAAAGGCTCTTCAAGAGTTGAAATGCTCTCAATGTAGACTTTGTTAATCAATTCTAATTACTATAAGACTTATTTCCTAATCTTTAATTGTGTTTAAGCAATGTCCCTAAATTGAGAATCTCTCCGAACCGAAAATTAAATTAAATTAAATTTCCTTTGTCTTCAGATAGATGCATCAAATCTTAATTTAAATACAATTGTATATCAGATTTATTTACTAAAAGAGTTGTTAAGTTCTCCGACTTGCAATTCATGAATTTTTCACACAAAGTTTTTTGTGAGAAAAAACAGTTGAAAAATATTTAAACTTTGGGCATCATACGAGAAAGTTACAAATCTTTAAGAGTTTTAAGTTTTATTTTTAGATATATTTAATTCCAAGCTTATGCGACTGACTGTGCAGCACGAAAGGTCGCGCCATTTGCACTCAGATTGCCCAAGTTGAAGTCCTCAACTTTGCGAGTTCCACGGCATGTTGTAAGCAAATGGTAGTTCTAAAGGGTTGTCTGGCCAACTGATAAAGGGGGACGGGGAGTGGAAGGAGCTGCAGAGTCTATGGCAGACGGCTACAATTACCGTGCTTAAGCGGCTTAAGAGCAGCGCAGCGCACAAAGGCAACTTTCCCAATGAGCATAAAGCGGGCGACCTGGGCGGTGCTTTGGCCACGTGCCTCAGTTTTCATGTGCGGCGGCTGCATAAACAAAGATAAGCATAAAACATAGAGAACCAGCTGCCTTACAGGAGTGCAGGCATGCAAGAATTTCCATCGAGTCTGCCGCACTCGGAGATGAAGTCAAAAAATGCAGTGCAAAAGTGTAACTAAGCGGCTTTTCACTCGACTTCTAAATAACGGCAACTGGGGGCATGCATTCGAGTCAATGATAAACTATGCCCCACTTTAGCAGCCACCAGATACGGATTCAAGTAGACGCGACGCGACGCGACTCAACTCGACTCGACTCGACTCTATTGGAAAATGCATCGTTTGTTTGGCTTCTGACCAAAAAACCACAAGGTGATTGTGAACAAAGAGGGACTTGAATTACTATGAATTACTATATGAACAGCCAAACTGTAAACAGGGCGTATGGGAAATTGAGAGAGCTAGATAGGTAGGTTAATATACCAATAGATAATGGGTATACAGATAGTTTAGATATGAGGGTAGAGGAGTATGCAGAGATATATATGGATAGATGAACGATATATAAATGAAGAGATAGTTAGTTAGCTAAAAGGCTTGATTTATAGATATATAGATAAATAGAATAAGAGATAGATATATAGATAGATATATAGAGATATAACTAATATATATATATAACTAATATACTAAATGAACTAATAATGAATAAATGAATATATAGATATGCAGAGAGTTAGATAATAATTCATAAGGATAGATAGCTAGACAGATGTAGAAATGGGCAGATGAATAAACAAACTGAGATAGACATTGGTAAAGCTGTAGAGAGACAACTAAATGTATAAAGATATATAAATATATAGAAAATCAAAGAGATGATGAGTTGCTTGGTTGGTATAAAGAATGAAAAAAAGTATGTATAAAGATATACAAAAAATATAAAATATGTAAAAATATATAAGAGTAATATCAATTAAATAAAATATTATTAAATAAATAAACAAGAAAAATCGTCAAACCCACTTTAGACATTCCTTTGAGCCACCTGAAAGACTAAGCCACTTTGTGCTCTGAGCTCTGCGGAATTTCTTAAGTGGCAAATTAACAGACAGAAAATCGATAAGAGCTTCAGCTGGGCACCAATGGGAGTTGGAATATATTCGAATATGTTTATAAATAGGCAACGGCTCTGCTAACTGTAATTGTATCCATAAGCATTTGCGGCTTAAGTGCCCTGAAAACGGGCGAAACTTCAAAGTTAAAAAAACCGCAAAAAAAAGAATTCAAAATAGAATCTGACTAAAATTGTCAATAACAAAGGCCTGCAAACATGTGAGTAGTTCAAATGAATGCGGAGCGTCTCATGCATGTGAGGAGCTGCACCAACGGACAGAGATAGACAGCACAGATACAGATGCAAGTGTAAATGGAGATACAGCAACATTTACAGAGGCACAGATACAGATACAGATACAGATACAGTTGCAATTGCATTAGATTGAGTTTATGACGACGATTAAGCGCCAAAGCCAACAGACCATAGCGATCGAGATGGCAGCAGCAGCAGAGAGAGAGGCAGAGCGAGAGAGCAAACGAGATAGAGAGAGAGAGAGAGCGTGTAGGAGGGAGAGCGAAGATCGATTGAATTACAAACTAAATCAATGCATCGGCATTAGAAGCCTTAAAATGCGAGATTTCTCTCAGATTTGCGCGTATTTATCGCGGCTGTAATCGCAAGCTGAAATTCATTTCATTATCAGCTGCACACAAAGACGCAACGATCACGGCGCCAGCTTAAGCGAAAATTAAAGAATGTAGTAAAATATATATATATATATATATACATATATATAGATAGATATTTAGTGAATCTGTTGTCAAGTGTATCCTGTGTTGCAGTTTCGGTTTGTGACCGACACTAACGGGTAGTTGAGGCATCTCGTATTCGCTGTTTTATACTCGTTTTTGCGATCACAAATTCTGAAATTGCAACGAAATGCAACGAAAAAGAAAAAGTTCCCAAGGAGAGGGCGGGGGCCAGAGGCGGCGGCGAGGGCTTTAATGTGAGTTGTGTGCCTCAGTGTGAAAAGTGTGAGATTCTTTTTTACGATTGTTCGAAAGCAGTTTACAGCTAGCCCTATAAAGGGAGAGCAAACAGTAAAAGAGAGAGCGGGCGAGAGGGAGACAGCGTAATACACATAAAATAATATATATGAGTAAGTATATATTGAGTGTTTTACATAAAAACTACAATCATAATCTCAATCGTTATTACAAACATTCATCATTGTGACTAAAACAATTCCAGGAAATGTATATAATATATTGTATATATATATATATATATATACATATATATATTAAATATATAGATTACAGATCGCCCTTCAGTTGGAGACTTGCATTTGACAAATCTTTCAATCAAGTCATTTTTCTTTCCCAAGCGCATTTTTAAAGCTCTTGGCAAAGCTTTTAAACTGATTCATTCTATAGATTACACTAGGTTTTTCATTTAAAATAGAAAACTATAAAATTGATATAAAAACTATTTGAAAGTCAAGGATTTTGGATTTGTGCAAGCCACTTTTCTAACTTATATAGTAACTTATATAGTTACATTTTATATTTCCACTTTATGGAACTCTTCACAAAAATATTTAAATTCAAAGCTTAAATAGAATTTATTTTATTATGTTTTTGTTATTGTAGAAAATGTGGCGGCAGCCAATGGAGCTACTTGATATGTAAATGGATATTGACGCATGTTGAAAGATTACAAATACCTAGAAATAGTGTCATTTTGCACACTCATACACTCCCACATACACGCACACCCCCCACACACAGCAGTTGTTTGATAAGCTCACAATTTGTAACTCGTCTTTGCTCGAAATACATTTGCCAACTGGAATTATATGTGTGTGTGTGTGTGTGTGTGAGTATGCGACTTGAATCCAATTGGATTTTGTGGCTGCGTGAGCGTGGGCCATATGTGAGTTTTTCGTATAACATTTGCATTTGTTTAAGCCTCGTCTCTTATCTACTTTTAGGCGTCGAAGATGTCAAACTGTCTCAGGAATATAAGACGCAACTCTGTCTGCTGCTATTACAATCAAATATATAGAAAAAAAATATATTTTTGTATACACTGAAAATATTGGAGGCTTATAGCTGCGTGGATTGAGCGAGCTTTTCAGACATTCGGTTAGTCTACAAGAAAAATAATCAAAAATTGTAATATTATGTAAAAACAACTTATTGGCATATCCAATTTTGAAATTTAGATCAATATGTATATATATATATATATAGAAAATTATGGAAAAAAGGTTTAACATTGAAGGGGAAACATTGGATATAGATTGATTGTATTTAAAAATATTGAGCTAAATATTTGCATAGCAAAAGAAATATATTATATATATAACATATTATATATATTATATATATAATGTATTATATATATATATATATATATATATATAACATATTATATATATTATATATATAACATATTATATATATTATATATATAACGTATTATATATATTATTTATATATAACATATTATGTTATATTGTATTATATATAATATTAGTTGAATTCCATGTTCTCACTATTTTATTTTATTTTTAATCAGAAATTATATTGTATCATAAGCTTTTTTCTTTTTCTTTTTAACTCTTCGCTTCTCGCTCTCTCTCTCTCTCTCTCTCTCTCTCTCTCTCTCTCTGTATCTCTTTGTGAAATCCTCCGCTTCATTATTCACCCATTTACCCCTTATTCTAAGCTCATTTACAGGGTAGCTTCAAGTCAGACTGATTCAACCTCTAGAGTGTTTCTTTGCTTTGTTCTCCATTTTTCCTTGTCCATGCGCTGCATTTGCCTCACCAAATTACCAAATATGACAAATTCAAGTCGCACTCGTATATTTCATGTTAAATGCTCGGCACGAGGCTCGTTTTTTTTGTGGACAACAACTGAATTGCGCATTTCGACAACTGTTTTTTATGCCCTGTTTATGTGTGCACATTAAAAGGGGTGGTTAGAAAAGGAAAGAAACGTAATTCTCATAGACGATTAACCGATTAACCGCTAATACAACTTCTTGTTTTAAATGATTCACGGATTGCTTAATACTTCAGCTAATGAGCTCAAGAATCTATTTAAGTAAAAAGTGAAAAATTTAAATATTTTAAATTTATTTAATTTATATCCAAATTATTATTATTATTATTTTGCCTGTAGGCAACTACAGGGCATCCTTCAGTCAGTCTAGCTCAGTCAGTCTTTTTAGATGTTTATTGATTTTTGTTGCTATTTTTCGTGTTTTTACACGAGACACAAGTTTGCATGTAAAAAGCTGCTTAATAAAAGTACCAAATATTATTTGCAACACACGCACGCACACATACAGACACACATATATATTATATGTATACATGTAGCTATCATTATGTATAATAAATATATTTTTATGGCTGAGCGATTGCGCAAGCTAAGATGAGTTGTCTTAGTGACATAGTTGCTGGGGCAACAGATTGAAAAGGTTCAAGTCCCAGAGTAGAATGCGATGAGCCCTCCCCTTCAAGAGTCATATATCTTGATGTATTTCAATAAGAGCAGTCAAATATTCAATTCTTATGACAAAACTTGCATCAGCGAGAATTTATTAACAATTCAACAATTTCTTAAGTTTCCTTAGCCTTATCTCCATTTCCCAACCACAAGCTCAGCACAACTAACTTTGCAGCTTATGCAAATATATATAATTAAATATGGCAAGCTTAGTAATTACAGTAGGCAGAGACAGGATGTGGCAGGAAGGAAGGAAGTCGATGTTGTGTGGGCGGGTGACACCATAATGAGCTATAACTAAGTCAAATAATGTCGTTGGTAATGCGTGAGGCTCATCAAGCTGAAGCTGAGGTGCGATAAGGCTTACGTAACACTTGAGTTGAGCAGGGGTCATGACCTCTGCCACACGATGCTCGTGGGCAGAAAAGTGTTGTAAAATTAATTCTGCATCTGCGTCTAACAGTTGTGCATACTCTCCACCTCCCTCTCTTTCTCTCACTCTTCTAACTCTCCTCTGCTTAATTAAGTGCCGCTGAGAGTCGCATTTGGCAAACGATTTAATATTGGATGCGATTGCTCAACACTTGCAAATGGCTCAACAATTGACAAATGAATTGCCAATCGTTGAAATTTCACTTTTGGCAAGCTGACAGAATTCGAAATGCAGTTTGCAATTTCAATCAAAATAAATTATATACTTTTGACAGCTCTCACAGCTACTTGGCTCTGGTTGTGGGCATTCATTATGGTCTTGATGACCCAGTAACAAGCCCAAAATTGTAAGCATAATTATGCCAATTCAAATCTATTGTGGAACTAGGCAATAGCTAAGGGTAGTTAAGAGATTCGAACAGGTTGGGAGGGCAATAAGACTTATGAAAGTGATGAACAGAGATTTTGAGGGTAATATATCAAATGTGAACTATTTGTTATGTTTCTAGACTCGCTGAGAATCCATGAACCAAAGTTCATGTATTTAACTCTTATAATCTTCGAGTAATGCAAATTTTTATCTATAAGTGTTATGGAAAATGAACAGTGTAGAAATGTGAACTATATTTTATATTTCTAGACTCTCCGAGAATTTATAATCCAAAGTTGATGTATTTAACTCTTAAAGTCTTCGAGCTATCCAAATCTTATCTTATCATTATTGCTGAATGAGCTATGAATTTGAGATTGATCCAGATACATGGCTATATCTACTCAATCTTCAAGTCATTCTTAACAACAATTACTATACACTTTAGAGGCTTAAATTAGTTTGTATTGGAAGACTCCTACGGACTCCCATACATTATTAAATATACATTAGTACAAATGCACCTCTTCATGTTGAAAATGTTCAGCTTATAGAAAGGTATTCAGTTAATTAATTACATGGATACTCGTGCTCCAATTCCAATTCAACTGCTTCCCCATCTCATTTCATTGCTTTAGCCACATTCATTTTGAAGCTTCTCAACATAGTTTTTCATATTTAATTCTGTTCCATAAAGAATTTCCGTGAAAAGCGTTTTATAAGTTTTCCTTTCAGTTGCTTTTGAATGAGGAGGAAACTAATGAGGATAAAAAAAATATAGAACTGGGTAAACAGCTTGATGCTTTATGAAAACATAAACTGGAGCGAGAATGAGCAGACAATGAGTTCGCAGACAAGGTAGTAGCTGGAGCAGCAATTGCAGTTGCCAATCAGGTGCACCCAAACACCCACACACCTACACACACACACACACACACTCGCACTCGCACATTGCCGCATGACCTGGAAAGCGAAGCGCGTGGAAAATGCGTCAAAAGGATACTCAGGACTAACAGGCTGACAAGACTTGAAAAGTGAATAGACAGTGCCGGGTCCTGGGAGTCACGCCTCGTGGGAACCGTTGAGCCAACACTGCCAAGCTAAGCGTTTTAATGCATTTTTAATAAGAATGCCTGATGCCACATCAAAGCCCAACCCCAGTCTCCGCCTCCAGTGGCCGCCTCCACACACTAAAACTTTAATAAGCAGCACAAATTTTAGCTAAGTTGCAATTAAAATGCATTCTCAATATATAAACTCTATGCATATGTATTTTTTAAACTATGAAGACTCTTTAAAGCTTTAAGAACTTTACTTAAGCAATTTCTGCTCTAGGGCTTAAGCAAACAAAGCATTCAATGGGCTTAGCCAGGCTAAGCAGAGTTATTCGACTGTGTGAAATTTGTATAGTTAGAAAGTAATTGGTTGGAATAGAGTTGCTTAGAGTAGTTTCTGGTTGTTAATCAACCTCTCTTATGGGTTACTCACTGAGCTGTATGATAATTCTATTATCAAGTTACAAAGAAACTTTTGAGTCTTGCTTAACCTTTAAAAGGTTTTACGCAAAACGAAAGGGTAATTGCTTAAAATCAGATAAGTTATATCTTGCAAGCTTAGAGCTGGCAATTGATTCTAAGACTTTACAGCTGGAATCTTTAGACAGAATCCAACTTATTTACTACTAGGTTTTCTATAATAATAGATTGGCTTTGATTGCCAATAGGGCATATAGACTGCCTATAAGGCATAAGTAACTCAAGTATCAACTTTCGAAACCTCTTTAAGAAGTACGTAGAGAGCCTATAAAAGAAATATATGTATAAATAAATAATACATAATTGTAAAGTAAATATGGTAATAAGCTATATAAAGTGATATATAATTTTATATAGTATATATAGTAATGGACTACAGAGTGTATACTCCACAGTTGTGTTATTAAAAGGGACCCTTTCTGGACTGTTTAGCGCACGTCACAATATTCTCTAGAGTAATTCCCAGTACTAGCACGCATACTACATATACTATATATGCTCTATATGTTTTCTCTTTACTTTACTCTCATACAGACTCACATTAGTTTTCGTACTCTATTTTTTATATAAGAGTCTCAGCTCTTACGGCTCTGCCTCTCGCCACATCACTTCAACTCGGACAGTACTTTCATTCAGACTTATTCCACTTAGTTACAGTTATTATATATTATATATATATATTTCTATATACTGTATGTCTGCACTGTTTGTCCCCCACTTTCTCCGCTGCATTGCGGACGTCACTTTCGCTGATATTAAAGTGGCGTCCAGCTGCTGATGCCGCCAACAAAAGGACCGCGCAGGACGTGACAGTTCGTTTGACTGCGGTTGACGTTGCGTAGGCGCTGCCAATGTAGTTGTTCCTCTGTCGTCCTTACGTCCTTTGGTCCTTTTCGTCCTGCGCCTGTCACTGCTGACGTAATTGCCACTGTCGCCGAGCTTTTTTAATAATGCCAATCGCAGTGGCGCAATCATCGAACCCAGCCAGCCAGGCGTTGGCTACGAAATGTGTTGCATACTTTTAAGGGTCAGTGTGCCTGCGTCACTTGCTACTGTGTGTGTGCGTGTGTGTCTGACTGTCATTAAAATACATTTAATTTTGAGTGCAGCTGCAGCCAAAGGCCGAGCACAGTTCAAGCAGCTGTTGACATGTTTCAAAAGAAGCTCAAGTTGTACTTTATGATTTATCCTC